GCAAGAAGCTACTAGTAACAAGGGCATCGCTACTGGTAAGCAGCAAAGCAAGGCATCCATAGATCCCATTCCTCCGGTTTGCCCAACTGCCTCCTGCAGCTGCAAAATGGAGTGCGGTATTGCCCGCACTGTTGGGCTCAAAACAGATCACCTTGAGCGACATCGTGGTGTCTGTAATGAAAGGCAGCATGAACCAAGTTCTCCTAATATTGCCGTGAGGTCGGATTGCTTGGATAGCTTGAACGCTTGAACTACATATCTGATGGGGCTCGACAATGCGTGCGTAACAATCCTGTGACGCTTGAACCTCAATGTCTCTAGACAGCTTTCCTCATTGAGCCGCTTCGGATGTTGCACCAGGCGGCAGCTGGCTTCGGTGCAAACTCAAGGAAGCACTTCACCACGTCCTCAAGCTCTGTAGCCGTCACACTCGCCCATGAACAGGAACATACTCACAACATCTCACAACGCTGATGAGGACTGGCTGCCGGTTTTTCTAGTCTGAGTCCAGTCTAACTTAAAGACCGTGCTGGGTGTGAGCCATGGGCGAGTATTAAGCCACTGACGACATGGCCATGCTTTGCCGCTAGGTGCAACGGCCTCGTGCACGTCGAAGCTACCAACAAATATAATCAAATATACGGATGGGCTCTGTTCAGATCTCCAGAGATGGGTCCACATTAGAACGAAACAACTTTATACACATTTTACAGTAATCCATATATATATAACTTTCTTCATTTGTGGATGTTCAAGAATGAGTGCAAACTTCATCGTCGGGTTGGTTGCTTATTGTCTGAACTTCAAGCTGCAAAAAAGAAAGCAGATTGCACAAAATCGGGCTGAGCACAAATACCGGAGAGCTGAACTGCTCTTTTGGGGCATCTGAAGCCTCAGAGGTCGGCACTCGTCATATCTCGGCACGTCAAAATGGAACGATTGGTCATTTTTCGTGTGAGGCTCAAGAACTAAGTGCCCCAAAATACCCACACCGCAATGAAAGTGCCGTGATAGCACATGAGGCTCGGCCTCTATCGCCGGGGCTTTCGCAGAACTCAGGACTTGGCAATGCAAAGCCATCCGGAGCGCGCAAAAGCAAGGCCCTTGCCGTTGCCTGTGCAGGAAAAACTGATGATGAAACAGCTGTCGAAAGCGACTGACGATACGCATACTGTACACACAGGGGTTAGGAGTAGGGAGCTCCCGTTTTGGACCAACTGTACCAATCTTGTGTTTCTAGATTGTTCATGTTGTCCAGTACCTTTTGGACGAGAGCACTACATGTTTAAAGTTTAGAACACGGCAGCGCGGGACTCTTCATCATGATCGATCGTGATTCATCTGCATCATGAACATCGAGCTGCCCAGGAAGCAGCACAATACTTTCTGAAGAAAACCAGATGTGTGCTACAAATTAGTATCTGCTTCTTCACCAAGTATCATCAAGCCTTGGCCTACAAGTAAATGCAGTGCTATTGTTTTTGGCCACTGTCCCATATCAGACTGAAATGTTGTTGAAAATGGAAGAGTTTCTACTTATGCTGTCTACAACTGACAGATCCTGACAGTGAAGGGAGACTGTTGAAGTGTTTTTTGACCGCTTCTACAAGCAGGTCAGGTCAGGTCATCAGGTCTGGCCCAGTCTGGCTCCTCATGACCATCCCGGGCAGCACAATGCAAAGGAGCCATGCCATCCGCGTTGACAGCAAGGCCTTGAGGCCGTTGACTTCGTAGGGACCTTTTTGGGGGAATAGGATCAAATACGCATTTAGGATCATGAAAATACTAGGCCAATAGCTGTCCGCAGTTAGCTTAAACAAGCTTTAACAGATTCCAGGTGTTCAACCCACATGTCAGAAGGCCACTGCCCCAAAGGCATTGGGACTAGTCAGTCCCCCCATATTATCAATTGACGCCGTTGTCAGAATACTGACAAACCCAGGGATGGATATCATTGATCATAATTGGTCAAAGGATGAACAAATCAATATACATAGATAAGTAGATAGATGGATGGATGGATGGATGGATGGACGGACGGACGGACGGACGGACGGATGGACGGATGGATGGAGGGAGGGAGGGATGGATGGATTGATTGATAGATTGATAAGTATGATAGATTGATGGATTGATAGATTGATAGACTGATAGACTGGCAAACAGGAAACACACAATATAGAAAGTTTTGCCCGGCCCATGTGGTCTTTCGACTTCTTCTGTGAACCTTCCCATGGACCCATGGATCTGTTCTTCACAAATCGATTGAGCTTGGATCCGGGCAAAGCTGCATTGGTTCAGGTGCAAGGGCCAACAACGTCTCCACGACATCCTGAAGAGTAGGTTTGCGGAGGCCAGTGTAGTGGATGCGGGGTAAACTCATGCCCTTTCTGCCCTTTCAGGGTAGAGCCACATCCCCAAGACTGTTGATAATATAAACATCCAAAACCAATAGGATACAATGGGATGCTGAAAATGCCAAAGGCTACCTTGTGCCCATTGATTGCTGCCAAATGCAGGCCGGTAGGGTTGTTGCCTCAGTCCAGAGAGAAAAAACAACACAGTAGAGTTGTGCACCGTGACCAAAGACTTTCGATCCACGTCCAAGCTGCGTGACAAGATCCTTCTGAGATCTTCTGAGTGCCAATTGATTGGCTCAAACTCAAGTGTGAAATATATATACTCAATAAAAATATTATATAGTAAAACATGTTGCCGGGAAAGCCTCAAAGGCCCAGATTGTAAATTGTAAAGTCAACAAAACTACAGCAAAAACACTGACACTAACTTATTGAATCCTTTCTCTCATCACATTTGTCTAACTCAGGCTGGCTCCCGATTGCGAGTGCATGGCCTCACAGCAGTTTGCTCCGTTTGTTCTCAGCACTTCAAACATGCAAAGGATTCCTTTTGCTGCAGTGAGCAATCCTGCTTGAAACCAAAATATGAAATAGAAAGGAACATAGCCCTGGGATGCAACACTTCCTCTTTCTAGATTTCGTTGGTGCCTTTGCCAGCTACAAGTAGTCCGGGCCAAATGCCCAAATCACAGAGTAGTTAGCAGAACTCCCTTGCTCTGGGTTTTCCGGCCATGAGCTGCTGTCGTCCCCCCGGAGCAGCCTCAAAGGCTTTGTTGGCTTTGGTGGGTCCAATCTTCAAATTTGCTGATCAACAAGCAGGACGACTCCAATCTGTCATCTCTGTCGTCCCCGGCAACACCCAAAAGACAACGGATGGCCAGGGCATTCCCAGCCTCCACAAGAGTGCAGAACGACGAGAAAGCGTGCAGCCTTCTGGATCTTCAACTGACTCTTAGACGATCAAATCAATAGAAAAACAAAGAGATGGAGCAAAGGTACGGCCCGTTTCCTTCTTTTAATGTCTGTTTGCTTTGTTGATTGCGCGCAAGATGGGTTTGCCTCCTTGCTTGTCGGTTGCACACTCTCATATCGTTGAGGTTATATAATATATGGTTTTGTGGGCGTTGGAAACGATCAACTGGCTACTGGCTACTGTAGATGAGGCATAATACGGCAAGCGGCTTGCGTGCACCTGACACCCTTGAAGAGAGAGAACAGAAGAGATTCAGATACACTTTGGGAGAGCAGAGACGCCCGCACAGGTGAAGCACAAAAACAATCAACATGAAAAAAACCGTGCAGTATCCAACAGTGCCTCGTTCAACCAAAACCCCAGTTTACAGTAAATCAGCAGTGGCCCACACTTATAGGGCCCACAGCCATCAACTTTGCCTTGCACATCGTCTGGAGCAAGAAAGCCAGCCTTAGAGACAAGGACCGAACGGGGCAAGAGGTCGAATCATGGGTAAAACAACACGGATAAAAATAGGGCATGCTCCTTGTTACTAGTAGCGTCCTTGTTACTACTAGTAAGGCACTTGATACTAGTAGCGTGGCACTTGTTACTAGAAGCGATGCACTTGTTCCTAGTAGCTTTATTGTAGTATGTTGTCTTTACGCCTTTCTCTTTCACCTCAAAATATAGACCGTTCTTCTGTCCGCCTTTCTCTTCCTACAACTCTGCGTAACTACCCCGAAACTGAAAACAAACACTTTGTATGAGTGTCTTTAAATGCATAATAGCTTCTCAGCTTCATCATTCTTCTCACCAAGCAACTACTACCGTAGCAGGGCATGTGCACAGCTAGACTTCACAAGTGCTTGTGAGTGTGTGAAGTGTCTATTCTGGACCCAAGTCCCAAGGGACAAAATAGTTGGGTTGCACGTGGATGCATGTGGTTCTTTGCGGCCTGAAAATGCCTCAACCTGAAGCTAGCTAGACCAACAGGTCAACTGTCGAAAAGGGAACAAAGGACCAACGGAACGTCCACATTCCTGAGCTGCCCTGCCCTTCACGAAGCTCCAAGAGGAGTTCTTTTCGAAGAGGCTCCTTGCCTTCAGCCTGGCATGGAAGCGCATCGGCTCATCAGGACATATCAAAGCCTTGTCTTTGCACATGTAACACCTCTCCCTCCCAGCCTCCCTCCCTCCCTCACTTGATCGCTCTATCTATCTCTCGATCTCTCGATTTATCTATCTATCTATCTATCTATCTATCTATCTATCTATCTATCTATCTACCTATCTACCTATCTACCTATCTACCTATCTACCTATCTATCTACCTATCTACCTACCTATCTACCTATCTACCTACCTTACCTACCTTACCTATCTACCTACCTTACCTATCTACCTATCTACCTACCATACCTATCTACCTATCTAATTACCTACCTTACCTATTATATCTATCCATCTATCTATCCATCTATACATCTATCTAGCTATCTCTCCTCTCTCTCTCTCTCTCAAGCCCACCTGAAGGCAGAAGAACTTTGCGCAGCTGGTGACTGCTTCCGAGACGCTTCCGGCTGCGTTCTCCTACCAGTTCTGTCATTGGGCCATTACAATTTGAACTCGGCATGCAAACACAGGCAAACCTGAGTACAGCCGTTTGGCCGTTTTCACTGTGGATATGGCATGATATGGCCATATGATGCCATATGGCTCATTTGCTGGCGAAAACTGCCAAGCTTTTTGGGCACAATGAATCTTTGGTCAACGAAATGCCAAAGCATGACAATCTCCGAGAGCAATGTGTCGGAAGCCTGTCAAAGCAGCAGATCGTGTCGGCACCAAACGATTCTCACGATCGCTACCGAAGCCCAGCTGACCTTCTTCATTTTTGCCCCACAGCCACCATTCACCCACAGCACTGACTGCAGCTGAGAAGTCTCCACCAAGTGCCAATGCTGCAAGACCTTCCAGGCCTGGAACAGCTCGAGGCGTCATCACATTGGCTTCTGAACCCATACCCGAGCGCCCCAAGGAGCCTCGGCCCCACATAAAACACTGTCGTTTAGGGCTGCAGATAGCTCCACAATGCACGGCTCCAGAGGCGATCTGATACACTGGAGCTGGGAGCTCAACCCTCACCGGGCTGTGATGATCTGTGAAATCCCCTTGGCCAAGCACACCAAAGCGGCCCCAGCCGAAGGAAAATACCACACTGGTTACAGTGAGAGCCAACGAATGCCAACGCCCCAAAGCACAAGAACGGACAGGCGCTCCGAGATCCACCAAGACAGGCTCGTGGACAGAATTTTGACGTCGACCAAGGCCTAGCTGCCCCTGATTATTTGCACCCCATAGGTACAAGCGTTCTTTGCAAATGGCCGCACTATGTTTGAAGCCAGCAGCCACTGATTCTGCAGATTGCAGGGTCGCACAAGGCAGTAAGCTTGAAGACATTTTTGGCGCGCCAGTGCCCAAAGCAAGTTGACCGGCGGAGTTATCGCCGCAAGCCCAAACCTCCCTGTTGTCCATCAGCACCAGGGTGTGGTCGCCACCACAGGCAACACTTTTGACCTTGTCATGTCTTGCAAGGCCATGAGGAATCTGGGGAAGTGCAACATCTTCCGAAAAGTCTGGGAGATCCTTTTCAGAACGTCGGCCACTGGTCGGCCGGCCACATTGACCGCGATTGTTTCGCCCACATAAAAGGAGGCTCTCAGGGAGAACAATGGCTGTGTGATCAAAGCCACAAGATGCAGCGACAATCTGACCATCAACTCCACAAGGTCCAATGGGATCTCCAGAGGTTTCTGCCAAACCTTTGTCTCCTCTTCCAAGCTGGCCATAGCTAGCTTTGCCCATGGCAAGAACACCTTTTTGATCTCTTGGTGGAGGATCAAAGTTTGGTTCAGCTTCGGGTCCGGGGCTCAGTTTGGCTTTCGGCCGCCACCGGCCTTTCATGCCGCTTTGGCCCCCGCCCCGTCCTCCTTGAGTCTTCTCCGGTGACGGCCCACTCCCACCGGTGCCCCCTTCACAGCCTGAATCGGTGCCCAGGAATCGAGCTGCAACCTCCTCTGCTCGTTCATCTCGATTCTGCACGCTGATCTCGACCAGCTCAACCCTTGGTAAACGTTTGCTCTGTGCGATGAAGCCACTACCTGGAGGAGGGTGTCAAACAAAAACAAGGAATCCTGCCGGGATCATGAACCACTCATTATGTACTAGATCGTCCTAGTCGTATTCCTCGATGTCTCGTGAATAGCTGGTGGTTCAGTCAGTTGGCTTTCTAATTCTACAAGGGCACCTGCAATTGCAACAGTTCCCAGCACATGCAACTTTGGGTCTTTGCTTTCCAGTAGTCTCCGAATTCTTGAGATGAAGTCAGGGCTTAGCAGCTCCATCTTGCCAATCTCATCAAAAATGAAGATCCTCTCTTGACCGCCAGCCCGTTCGTCCAGAACTCGGTCGAGGATTGGCACAGTGAAGCGCTCGAACTCCTCCACTTGGACGTGGTATTTTCCTCAACTTCGATGAAACCGAACTACATAGACAAGTTACAGGGGGCACAAAGTCCAGGCGAAAAGGCACGTCATCTTGCAGCATTAGATAGCATTAGGCTATACAGCAAAGTTCGAGACTTGGTCGCATGATTGCCTATGTTTGAAAGCCAGTCAAGGTTGCATGAATCACATGAAAAGGTCTCGAGCTTGCGGCCACTGTATCTCGCCCAGTCTTTGCAGGGATTTCTAGAGGGTACGTGATATGGCATGTGTACGGCCCACCCAGCGCAAAAAGGATCTCTAGCAAATGCCTTTTTGTGACTAGTGCTTGTGTTCCAACAATGAAAAAGTTGGGGACACTGAGGCATTCCTTCAGTATCGGTTAAACCTTTTGAGAACTCCGGGAACAGGTACAGTAGCAGCTGCTAGACCCAGGGAAAGTGTCGACAGTCGACAGCAGGCCAAAACTATCTTGTTCACGCTCTGTGTGTGTGTGTGTTCGTGTCTAAGAAAAGCAATTGATGAGAAATGGGAAGCCAGCAAGTGCTAGTCTGATGAGAAGCCAGGACTCCTACCATGTGCCCTGTCCGTGGACCATCGGCACATGCCAGCGGCGCCCGCTGGGTCTCATCCTTCAGCGCCACACAATCAAAACCCACACGACGGCCATGTTCTCGCCGCTCCTCAGGCTTCAGTTTCAAAACTGAATTAGTGCGGTTCAACCTGGTTCAACCTACCATGGATTGGGGACCACTCTCGTGGGCGCTTAAAACTGCCTTGGGGTGACTCACTGCCCCGACCCATATGATAGACTCCAAAGAGCAAGTAGCTGAATAAACTAGTGCTAAACGTCAGCGCTTCACTGCGCTGTTTTGGTGAAACGTTTTCAACCCTCAAAGTCTATCGAAACGGACTATGATGATGAATTTTCTTGATTCAGGGAAAGGCCTTGCTGAGGGAAGCCCTAACTAATCTTCACCCAGACCAGTTTGCCAGAAATGGCAGCAGGACCGAAGGTTCAGAAGGCAAATGTTGATGAGGTTGACAGTTGTTCCAACCTGCAACCAATATAAACTATATATATATAATTAGTGTTAATTAATTGCTGTTTTAGAATATTTTGTATAGATACTTTAGACACTGGTCCGGCAAGCGTCCTGCATAAGAAAGCCATCCAGCAGTCCTTGGAAGGAAAGGCATGGGTTAAAAAGATGTTCAAGAGGTCGTTGCCCATCCGACAGTGATGTCATTGGCCACTGCTGGACCACTGACTTTCCGCTACCCTGCTGACTGGAAGTAGAAAGATGCAAACGGCACGTAATATGAAAAGGCCAGCACTCCTCAGAAATGCCTTAAGCCTTAAGGCCTTAAGGACCTTGCTTCTGCCTGTATGTCATGAACAAACCGTCAACTGAGTTCTGAAAGTACCAAGTGAGTGAGACACTTCACTAAGACCCGTTGCCTCAAAATACAACTGCGAGCCGCATCGAGCCCTCAGGGTTGAGCACCAATAATTGAGCTCTTGCAACGAAACTTGGTTCAGGGCCAGGCTCATAGCTACTCGGATTAAAAAAGAAAAACTAACGTGGCAAATACTATAAATATGGAAACAAAGGGCGTATGGACACGAACGAACGAGGTGTCGATCGGACCGTCAGCTGCTATGCTTCGGTTTCTCGCGCCAGAACAGCTCAAGGCCTTTACGGCCAGTGCGTCTCAAGTTCATGAACATGCCTGAAAGCAAGAACGGTCTCATGGATGTCATTTCTCATCCGTCCAAGTTCTTTGTTGCTTTCAGGCGAGGCTCAAAGAACGTCACCAGCCGATTCGCTCGAAAAGCTTAAAGGTAGCCAGTGGTTGGGCAGGTCCATAAGGTCTGCCTTCTCTTCAAGGACTCGCCAAGTTGGGATGTCCTTCAGCTTGAATTCGGCGATGCTGGTTCGCCATGGAAAATCCCTCACTTGGAAGCGGGGCACCGGGCTTCTGAAGCTCTTGGCTTGGACAGCCACATGAACTCCGACGTTGTCCTTGTAGTGCCAACCCGGTGAAAGGGCGAAGTGCTGGACGTGATTCATCAGGCTGTGGTCCTCAGGACCGCATGGTCGGCCAGGAAGGTCTGCTGCCTTCTCCAAGCTCTCAGCCTCTTTCTTCTTCTTGAAGGTCTGCCGGGTGAACTCGGGCAGGTACTCAATGCTCCAAATGCCCCTTTGGAGTGTCTCCCTGAGCATCTTGCCGTCCATCGCTTTGGTGCCGCAATCAATGTACATGTTGCTTGTGGCGGTCCACCTGTAGGAGGTTTGAGGTCTCCTCATCTGCTGACGGATGTTGGCGATGGAGAACATGAGGCTTTTCTGGTTGCCGAAACCAACATCCGAAGTCACTCTATCATAGCAGTCCTTGGCGTCAGTCACGCCAGTCAAAGGGACCTGAGTGGCCATCAGGTACCCATGCCGATGGTGGATCGGCAGTCCCAAGGCCTCTACCACAAAGCCGCGGCACAGCTCGGCCGCATCAAGCCCTTCCTCTGCGCCCGAGGCGTAGGAGGATCTGCAGACCCTTGGAATTCTGTGGGACCTGAAGTCAAGGACGGAGAATCGTCCCTTCTTGCCGGCCAGGAGCTGCTCATCAGCCAAGCTAATGCAATAGCAGCTCTGAGAGTGAACCTTCTTTGCAGGCTCGCCAGACAGTCTTCCATGCTCGTCCACATTCCCGAGCGCTGCATCGGTGACAGAGAGGACGCCGCCCTTGTGGAGTGGGATGAAGCCAAACCTCAACGAAAAATCACCGTTCTTCTTGGCATCTAGGACTGCCTTGTTCGCTCTGAGGAGAGTGCTCACGGTGTGGGCTTCACTTTGCAAGGTGCTCACCATGGAAGCAAAGGGCGTATGGACACGAACGAACGAGGTGTCGATCGGACCGTCAGCTGCTATGCTTCGGTTTCTCGCGCCAGAACAGCTCAAGGCCTTTACGGCCAGTGCGTCTCAAGTTCATGAACATGCCTGAAAGCAAGAACGGTCTCATGGATGTAATTTCTCAATAATCAACCGGAATCAACCGGATATATAAATAGTGGTCGATGGTCGTCCTGTAAAACTCCAAAACTTGCCAGGACACTGTCTGACCGAGCTCCCACCAAGCGCTTGTAGACCTCAAGCAGTTTCCTACATGTGTCTAATATCATTATGTCCACCCTCCACAAAGGCCTGCTTAAGAAGTAGAAAGCCAACTACGCATGGAGCCTTCTATCCTTCCAAACCAACGTCCAAGTGAACATTTAGAAAGATCTAGCCCGAGTCTACCTGTGATCCTCTGTGCCGAATGATTCTCACTCCCACACGTTGCTGAGGCACACTGTAGCACAAAGTGGTCTTGCCAGTCCCAGGTGGACCAGTGATTAGGATCCGCAGCGGAGCCATCTGTAGTTGGGTGATCAAATATCAGCACCTATGTACAGTACACATTAAAGCCCGAAAGCAGTTGACGGTAGCTTCTCCCGGGTTCATGTATTTATAATTCAAAGTCAAAGTACTCCTAGCTCGCCCTGCAACGCTGCTGTTCTATTCGGCAATCCATCCGATGGCATCATGCTTGACATCTAACATCAATGATCAACCATGATCAACCATGCCCATGCGGCTACTCAGCTGAGAATGTCTTGGAGCATCTCAAACGTCACGGGCACAAGGCAAATGCTACAGAGCAACCACATCGATACATGCAATACCCATCACGGCAAAGCCAGTCAGTGGAGCCCGGCCAACTTGCGGTCCTGAATGAGCCAGGGTGGGAGACCTTTGCCTTCTAGGAGATGCTGCCATGCGCATCGCGCAGCCAAATAATCCTGCCTGAGCCACCCGCAATTGAGCTGCGCTGAGCTTTAGAAAGTTGGCCCATGGTAGGTTGATGTTTTGAATATGAATAGGAGCAAGAACCTCCACTCGGAACTCTGGAAAAGCATGGAAAGCCTCCAGCTTAGGAAACTGGGTTCCGAACATGGATGGATATCGAAACCTGAGGCCACCCTGCTGGTAGTCCTGCCAAAGTTTCCAGCAAACAGAAGAAATAAGAAACAACCCTACCAATGCAAGCTGCTCAAGGTAAACCCGTTCCGTGAGTAGCACGACATCATTGCAACTCCTTGAAAGCAAAAAACAGGTTGAACCAAACAACAATTGCCAAGGCTGCCCTTGGGACGTCTTAACTTGTGATCCAACGCCATGGGTGTGACGGGGTGCGCTTGACCATACTCCTCCAAAAGCAAAATTTGCCCTGCTTGGGCTGTCCTTGGCGGCCAGGAACGAATTGGAACACATTATTGGTAGGTCTCTTGAAATGACAAAAACCTGAACTGTTCCAGCTTCAACGGGCTCTTGAATGTGTGACATGTCTGAACACGTGATGATACACAAAAACACACGCACAAACAAAGTGTACTGTATAAAAATGAGGCATTGCGTAAATACCTGAGAAAGGAGGGGACGAAAGCCAGCCTCCGTAAAAAGACATCAATATGGTCAACTGGGGTGAATGCGCTGGGAGGCACAAGGCGGAGCTGATATGACAGGCCTTCCATCACAGGGAACGTGGGTGCCCTTTTTCTTTTGGACGAAGGGGCGTTTGGAAGAGAAAAAAGGCACCCCGAAGTCATTGCTTGTCTGCGGTTTGTTTCTCGTGTTTTGTGGATGGACTCATAAACCTGGTGCGCTGTTAAGAGTGGGTCGTACTGATATGGGGGGAAGTCGACACGGCGGTGATGTCTACTGCTGTTGGAATTAGAAAGCAACAGATATAGGTTTGGGGGGGGCGCCTCGTCCTTTGACTTAAGTCCGATGTTGCAGCCAAGATCAAGTAAGTGTCTCACATCGGGCAAAGAATGGCTTTGTTATGGGGTAATAGAAAGCAGAGGATATGTTTGGGGGGTGGCAATTTCCTTTGATTTAAGGTGTTTTGAGGCTGAGAAATGGCACCCAGAAGGAATCGACGGGCGCTTGCACGCTGTTCGTTCTCCTTGCTTTGTAGATGGTGGTTCGACGTTACAGCCAAGATCAAGTGAGTGTTTAACATCCAGCATAGAGTAGCATTGTGATGGGGCGAAGTCGACACGGAACCAGAAAGCAGAATACATAGTACGGGGGGGCGCCCTTTTTTCCTTGTGGTTCAGGGGGTTGTCAAGCTGAAAAAGGGCACCCCCCCCAACAGCTGCGTCCACTCCCATCCGCTCTTACAGTGCATACGTAGCCTGAACTTCGATCCGCACCAAAGCCCAACCACTGGCGCTCCCTTCCACTCTTATTCGCCGAAAAAGAAATGGTCAAGAGACGCGCATCTTGTCTCTGTATTTCCGACCTCTTTTCCCGTCACTTCCCTCTCCTATCCTCTAAAGGTCACATTTTCTCCAGAGCGCTGAGCGACGCACTTCTCGCTTCCCTGCTCCCCACCTCTTTTCCTATCACATCCTCCCCCGCGATGCCTCTCCTCCACATGAACTCCCACCCCATATGGGGTGCCCTGTTGCTTCTGGTTAACAGGCCTCTTCACCATAAAAAGGGGCACCCCCAAGCAGCTCAAAGCCGCATTCTGTTCCCTGTCCTGATCACATCATTTTGTGCAATCCCTTCCCCACTGCATTCTGTTCCCTCTCCTGCCCTCACAGATCACATCATTTCCACAAGACAACAGTGTGTTGAGAGACGCTCCCTTTCACCCCTGGTCGAAGACCATTAAAAAAGCCTCCAGGGACGCACGTCTCCGTTTTGTGGAGGAGCTCCTATCGTCGACATCAACTCCAGCCCTGGTAGAAGACTGTTCAAATTGCCTCCTGAGCCCGATGACTCCAGCTCTCACCACCTGTGTATCATTGTCCATGATGTTGGCGATCTTCTGACCAAGCTCCGGGCCACTCACAGTGGTGTGTTTCCTTTTCCGCTCTGGTTACGTTCTACGTGCACCTCCTGACACTTTTTTTGACCATGGTCTCTATCGACCCCGCATCACTCGAAGAAACCCACAGATTATCTACCCCTTATCGCTCGAAGAAACCCACAGTTCTTTTTCTGCGCTCTGTCAATCTGATGCACTTTCTTTCGCTCTTCCTCACCAGGCTCTGGGTTCGCCCTCCGAAATTGCCCTCTGTGCGACCACCCCCCCCAACACCCCCCCTAATACTCACTTCGTTCGCCCATCAACAACTCCAGCCTAGCCTATCGGCTGGCTTTCGTGATATATATATATATATTTGTATATATGTATATGTATATATATATATATATGTCTTTAATATATTATATATACATATGTCTTTAATCCAAAGCATCTTGTTCATTAAGTAGCCGTGGCAATTGAGGCGGGTGACCAAAATTTAGAAACAAGAACACCTGCAACCAGTTTTATGTATGATCGCACCACCCTTGACCTTGTCCCTCAATTTCCCAGTATGTCAAATTGGCAACTTATTGGAGACCGAAGACTTGTCAAGTTGATTTTTGGAACGTGTCACTCTTCAAAGCAATACTGCTTGACACAACTTAGACTGAGCTTGTTGACTCCTCTATAAAACATCAGTAATTTAAAACGTTTTATTCAAGCATTCAAGCATGTTATTTTTGCTCACTTCAGCCCAGCATCTTTGCCAACTTCTCCAAAGGCTCCACAAGTTCTTTCGAGGCGGAGGCAATGAATGCCAGCAACCTCACCACGTCGGTATGTTCCTCTTCCAACCTCCAAGTCAACAAACGCGTTAGGAGCTCTGGGTTGCGAGTTGCGAGGGTCGGATTGTTCGGATTTGTGCTCTGGGTTGTGAGGTCCTCAGAATGGCCAATACACAAATGCTATCAAATGCTCCTTGTGTCCCCACGCCCCTTGGGCCCCAGACTCATGAGACTTAATGAAGCGGCTCCGTCGCCCTGCATTTTTTTTCAGCAGCTCGGTTTATTGAAAGAGGTTACAAGGTCGTAGGGTCAAAAGCTGGGTGTGAGCGTACGGCCCAAAGAATTTTGTAAAATCAAGACGAACACCTCTGACCAACCCAGCAGGAACAAAAGAAACTTCAACTAAATCCGATCCAATTGCAAATCCACACTTTTTGGTTCCTTCATCAGGATGGAGGGGACTCGCCAATTGCAACGAATATATAATACAATATTATACAGAAACATGTCCAAAACTTGCCGAGAAGTTTGCCGAGAAGTCATGTTAAACTAGCTTGATGACTTGCAGCGAAAGAGTCGAATACTGTATAATATATGTACTATATGATATTATATGATGAAAGCTTTATAAATCCAAGAACGTGGCTGTTCAACTGAATGGAGCAATAGCATGCAAGAGCATGTTCTCCTGCAACGGGCTTGATTTATTGTTGATTGTCTGCGCTGGAGATGTTGTCTCGGGAAGCTTGATTGTAGTGAGATTGTACAGCACGTGGGAGGATCCAGGACATCAAACTCTCAAAACACCACTGAACCTTTCAGGTGAGTACATTTGTCCAAATTCAACCCGCTTTACAGTTCAAATTCCGTCTGTTCACCAATTGGCGCAAGATAGGGTCTCCAACAAAAGCAAAAGTAATCCGAAGAAGTTGCCTAAGCAATCGTAGGCAAGCTCACTGCAGGCGGTCGTGAGGCCAAGCTTGCTGAGCCTGCCCCCAGCCAAGTGGTGACTCAAACTGGATGGCGACTAACCATATATATAGTTGATCAACAGTCAGTCCGACACGAAATACCACAAGAAGGGGAATCCGAGAATCCAAATGGAAGCACGGCATCCGCAGAGTTGAGCTAAGTCGCGCTGCAAACTCAGACTCATCGTAAGCTTTCACAGCCTTTTGGCCTCAAGCGATGAGGCATGATGAGACATGGATCTCTTGTGCTCAAAATGAAAGTCCCCGCGTGTATACCTCCGGTGTAAGTGGGGAGACCTGACTTGAGGTCATTTGGGGTCGTGGAGATTCTTGTCAAGGTTTAAAAGACTTGGAGGAACAGCACAGGTCACTACGGTCACAACCACATACAACCACATCTTTTCAGGATGCTGCACTGGGCCACCGACTCTGGAAAATACGCTTGAACATGTGCTCGTAGAGCCTAGTGAAACAGTCAGATCATGTCCCAAGTGCGGAACGGTGAGATCTCTCTCTGAATCGAAACCACCAAGCACCCAAAAACAGGTTTAGGAGGACATTGACAGACAAGGCAGCGCAGTGACAAAGGCGGTGAACGAAAAACTCGGTTTGATTTCATGCTTTGGCAGGTCAACATCAAGACTTATGATGGCAGTTGTAAGTTTGCAAGACTTCACGGAGCCCTGAGGTTAAAACTGGCAGCGTGTCAACGGGTGCCTGTCAAGGCGGTTTTGATGCTATTCCCTTCAACTGGCCATTCTCAGATCCACTTTGCCTCGTTCGAATATCCTTCAAATGATCAAATCGGCTTCTTACTGATGTATAAACATATGTATATATATATATATATGCGATATTATGCTATGATCAAAAGGCTCTGTCTCAACTGTCTCATGTCTCTGCTTGCAGAACCTGTCATTTGTCTCGCTATATCTCTCACCTCTTTGGGCTGTATCTTGGAGCTAACGCCCGAAGAACCATGATGGCAGTGAGCCTCGGTGAAGGACTGCAGATGGACCTTTCAGTTAGGGGTCTTGGACCTGTGACCTGTGACATCCTGTGACCATGTGTGACCTACATTCAAGTTCTAGTCTTTCGATCAGATATCAGATATTCAGAACGATTGAGGTGGTCAGCCAATCCCCATCTGAGATCTGAGCCAGTTTCAGTATAAGAAAGACAATTTTTTGGAAGATTCCGCTACTTGCTTGCTCTGCCAACACTTAAGCATTCATATGCTTGATCAACTCTTGTGGTCGAGCGCTTGACGGGCTGTTCACCAAATCGTAGTTGTCTGGAAGCAACATCTCGGACTCCACCTAGACTGTGGCGTCACTGCCGCAATGCCATAACCACATCGAGGTGTCGAGGTGTCCGAAGGTCTAGACAAAAATAGCAAGAATGTTCTAGATTCTGCTACTGTAGAATTACAGGAAGCAACATGACAAAAAAAAGAATATAGAGAGAGAAAGAAAATACAAAAAAATGCGGCCTTAGCTCTTGGACGTAATCCCTGGCTCCATCCCGCAAGAACACTGCTAGACCGCCTTCTCTTGGAGCTCCATCCCCTGCGTCCACCGTCTGCAAAGCTTCCGTAAGTGTGAAGCCTCCAACGGCTTCACATTGAGCCTGGGCCATGGGATCCACTCTTGGGGGGATGGGGCAACAATAACATCCATCAGTGCAAGATCCTGAAAAGGCTGCATAACATTCTATGATTGTCTCGGGTCGTTTAGCTGGCTTCAGAACACCTCAACCCCCTGGCATGGTCAAGAATAGTCAATTCCTCTTCCTGCTCGGCAACGAAAATCTAAGCATGGTGCTCTGAGAACTTCCACCTGCCGCAACATACATCAATCATTCTTGCGCCCCACTGTGCACAACACAATATCGGAAACGGGTGGCTTTGCGGGCTATCTTAAAGAAACACCACCAACTCTGAAGAGGCATCCAAAGTATTTCAGACCCTCAACAGGCTTCCTTGCTGCCGCTTCACCGAGACGTCTTGTGGCAGTGGCCTTTGCATCAGAGAATACATGCTGTCTCCGCCATGCGATTCGCCTCACGAAGTCAGCTGGATTGCAGAGGCACAGATGCAAGAGAGTTTAGCGCTGGTAGAAGCGAAGCAAATGCGTTATATAACGCACAGGAAATGCAAAACAAAGCATGTAGATATATGTACATATGTATAAGACTTGAAACATGTGAACCCTACTAGAACCAGATTAAATAGGGTGGTTCATGCGCCACTCACGTGGCCCTTTTTGAGCACATGCTCGACCGTATGTTGGAGCCATCACGGGCCAAATGGGGCGTTGCAACTCAAATGTGGCCCACTGGCACCGTCGCTGAAAATTACGGCGATCAGGAAACTCATCTGGATCGCCTGAGCGTCATGAAAAGCTGTACCAAGGCAGTAGATCCAAGTCCCAACATGAAGGCCATCACCATCGGCATGTAGGACGGCAAGGACCGCTGCCCAACTTGAGGCCGCTGAGCCAAAATGGAAGAGATGGACTGAGTGCTGAGCGTTGTAATCGTCCTTCGCTGCACCGCCTGCACTGTCTTGTCGCTCTTGGCACGAAAATCCACCTGCTCAGGCTCACTGTCGTCGTCCACCGAGTCGTGCTTCAACCAATCAGGCTCCACCAGGGCAATCATGGCCACCTCGTCTCAAGGCGGAATTCAACTAAGCAGGGAACACTGGGCAACATGGATTACATAGATTCAGAAATGTACATATCTAGACGCCTCGTTGTTGCGGTTCAGAAGGCCGTATCATGCAGCTGTATCCTGATGTATAACTGTTGGTGGTGGAATGGCTGGAGCTGAGACCTCGAAGTAATGTAACTTCATGCTGTCATGACAATATCTAATATTGGCAGAACTACGTGCATATATAATATCATATATATATCATATTGTATCATATTGTTACAGTGTATTTGTCATGCTTCCTTGGAAAAAGAGTCCGTCTCTTACAATGGTGGCCGAGGAGCGGAACTGGGCTTTGGCCCGGCCTGGTATGACTGTCGTATGCGGCAAGGAGGAATCGTCGGAAGATGGTCGATGGGATGGGACTATATAAATGTCGCCAGTAGGTTGGAGAAAGAAACTCATGAAGTCCGAGGCAACAAGCTGGGTTTCTCATGGTTTCTCTCTTTCCCACAAATCCCTGACTTGCAGCTTGTGCGCTTGTGCCACTGCAGAACTTTCAAGCAACACTTCAAGCCATACAGAACGTACCCTGTAGCCACACATTCGCAGCCTGGATTCCTTGAACTGCTGGCACTTCTACCATCTGACCCTCTTGGTCAGTCCAGTCCACAATGGAATGCCGAGCTGTGAGTGCCACCTCCTGGAAGACCTGAAGCGACACGAAACGACTGAAATGCCCCCGACATCGAAAGACCATGCCATACTTATCTATTCTTATCCATATGTGTTACAAATCATGTGAAAACTAAGTCGCCAAGTTCACAATATGTCTCCAAATGTCTCCAAGGTCATGGGACTTTTGAAGGCTAATGAGAGGAACCCTGGGAGCACCCTATTCTGATGTTCAGTAGCCGGTCACTGAAACAATGGGCTAACAGTGATGTTTGAGAAATCCATGTTCATGCGATTGCGTCGCTCCTTCTCAAGCTCCTGCCGCAAGTTCTCCGCAACTCCTTGAAGCTCTTGAGCATGCTTCTCCTTGATCTCGATGGGCACGTGCGAGGCGTGACTATCCCTCACGAGGTGAGTCACATCTGACTGGATTCCGACCAAGTACCAAATATCCTCTCCAGTCTCTGCATCCCTTGCGACACGAAGACCGCGCAGAGCCAGCAAATTAACGAAGAGTTCACCCGTCTTGCGTCGGTTCTGCCTTGGGAAAAGCAAGAAAAACGATTTGATATAAAGATGGTGCAAAGATGTGCAAAGACGGAGTGTGCAGCATCGCAGTGTTTTCCTCCAGAGACGTCAAGTTTGTCGGCCTGCCATTCTACTCTTACTGTTCTCAGCACAATCACTTCGCACTTTGCTTCCACACTCTTCCAACTTTGCCAAGCGTCAAGAAGCCTGTAAAAGGCTTGCCAGTTTGACAGGCATGCCTCAATTTACATCGCTGAGAAAAGCCTCAGTTTACTGACAATGCTCGCAAGTCACCGTTGCCGTCGGAGTAGCTCGGTATCAATCCAAGCAGCTCATCTCGCAGTCATGGTTGAGGAATCGACAATTCAAACCCACAATCTCTGCACAGGGGTAGCCTGTGCAATGGAATTGCAAAGGGGTAGCCTGTGCAAAGAGAGTGCAGTATCTACCTCTCCACCCTGATTCATGCTTTTGCAGACCTTCTGTGCCTTACTATCGTTTTTACATGTTTTTTCCTTTTTTTTCCAATACCTTCCATGTGCCCACATCCTGCCTGTCATCGCCTCAAAGGTGGGTGACACTGCCACCAGCGGCATATCTGGCTGTGATGGATCTGCTATGGACACTGAGAAGCTGCACTCTGCCAGCGCACGGCTGGCCGCCGTACGAGCCACATGATCCACCACCTCGTGAAGGGAACTTTTGAACCAACAGCGGACTCGTTTGACCCGGTTGTACACTCTCAAACTGTGCAGTGAAATGCAATAATAAACGAGCGACTGCGCCTGTCTTTGACATCCTGTCAATGTGGAGTCTTTCCCCCCAGCCTTGTGGCTAATCAACGGTTGAAGAGCCAACTCCTGCATATAGCCAATCACGGGCATTTCCTGAAAGCAATCACATGCGACATGCAGGGAACAATCGGAATAACATCCAAGAATGGTTCCTTTGCAAGCTCCCGTGCAGTAGCTGCGAATCGAACGCGCGAGTGCAGCATCCCTGGAGCCAAGGTTCATAGGGTAGCAACATCAGCTCATAGGCTTGTCCACGGCAGTCCACCAGTGCGTAGTAGTCCCGCGATTCCAAGGGCTTCCCCGTGGAGACTGAAAAGACGGTCTGGTAGTTCCTTACACGACTCATGCTGACAAGCTAGGCTGAACAGCCATCAAAACCTTGATATATTTTTGTGAATTCTTCATGAGACTTGAATCTATATTATAACAGCTCGTGCACCTGCGAGCCTTGCACTTTACTTCGTCTTGATAAAGCAAAAAAGATAAGAACAAAAGTGCACCACATTGTCCCAAGGCCTTGTCAAATTAATCGAACATGTTAAGCTCGGTCTGGTCAGTTGTTGACTAGAAAAGGCTTGCTCCCAACTCACCTTAGCCATGCCTGGAGCTCGTTGCCCTACGATCTGTCAAGGCTCAGCATGAGGTGAAGGTCCCCATCAGGCGTGTACAGCATGCCTAGAGAAGCTGAAGCGCCGTTTCAGCAAGAAAGTCTCTGGATGTCTCAAGGAGCCCCTAGTAGTGTCCTTGTTCCTAGTAGTAAGGCCAGGAGCCCCTAGTAGCATCCTTGCTCCTAGTCGCGATGCCAGGAGCCCCTAGTAGCTTCTTGTTCCTAGGTGAGGGTTTGACTCCTAGAGATTTAAACGAAGAAAAAAATGCATCCTGATGCCTCGCGGCCCGCCGCCCCTCTGAACCGTTTCCTTTGGCTTCAGCTTGTTTGGGGAAGAAAAGAACGAGATGAGTGTAGTTCTGCAAACAGAACGGAGTCTATATTTATAAAGACAGTCTAGCTTGTGTTAAGCGGTAGCGTACAAAAACAAACATCGCATGTTCAATGCCAAGATGCCCATCACATCACCTTCCCCCAGGTCCCAGGGCGTGGTGGGCCGATTGTTCCACCGAGGCTGTGGACCCTCAAACTTATTCAGCTCCTGCAGTTGCCGTGTGGAGTGTGGAGAAGCTTTCTATATATATAAATATACTTGTTAAGCCCACGCGGGAGGTAGGCCGCGAATAGAGGAAGAGATAAGCCAAAGTTGCTATCAAGTAGAACGTTTCTAGCTACTGAACGCAGGATAGCTCACACTTCTTCAAGGAAGCTCCCCCCGCCGCCCGAAAGGCGGTAAGGGTGAGCTTTCTTGGAGAAGCACTCGTCGTACTATCTCGTACTAATGATTCGGTTCCTAGATTCTTTTTGGAAATGTTAGATGCTTGCAGTTGGCATTGCCAAAGAGAATTTCCGGGACGCGACTTGGAAGCGCTGCCCTCGTACGAGTTCAACAGCAGCACTTAAGAGATTTGCATCATTCAATATCATACTTACACGGAAACAACTCGAGAACCTTAAATGACTGGCACTGGTCAAGACACTCACAAGTCTCCTCAGCACAAGGTGCAAATGTCCCATCAAAATGATGCGACTTCTCGCGCACAAAAGCCTCAACCCAAACACTCATCCAAACGGTCTCTGCAGGACCCTTCCAACGAAAACTGTTCGAGGTTTCATAGAGGTGCACTTAGTCCAAGCCCAAATCTGTAGCCGATCTCTTGCATCCAACAAGTGTTGCAGCAAACTCTTATGTCTTGTCCTTGTACTGCTCCGTCATTGAACTTCATGTTCAATATACAACCATGCTAGTGTAAGGCCTCCGTCTTTGAGGTTTTGATGTTCTGCAGGGGTCCATGCAAACTAAAAATCGATCTAATGGTCTCTTGCGAACCTTCTCCTCCGTTCCCTCCCCATGGCGCCTTCCAATGCTCGAAAAATGCAAAATGCATCAATATTCCATAATATTCAACCCCCAAATGCTTCAAGGTTCAGGTCCAGCCCAATTAGGCGTGCAAGAAAAAATATCAACATAATGTATATATATATTATATACGTACTATACTAAGCCAAGAGATAGCGACAAGTCGTTTTCATGGTTCCGTGCTTGCATCTGATTGCATCTGCATGGGGAATTGTGATGGTCAAAAGGTCTGACTATACATAAAGTCCATCACAACGCAAGTGTCACAAAGAACTTCTTGCTGGCAAAGCATTCTACGGTACAGATCAGTATACATGGACTACAACAATTATTTGTGCACTCTGCCCCGTATGGCTTGCTACTCCGTCCAGGCCTGGAACTCACCTCCGATGCAAACACTCTTCCCACACCATTCGGCCCGCAAGGGATACCCATCTCGCTGCATATCATCTGGAGAGATCGTTGTTAGGCCCAGAACGGGCCAACTGCTGCACCAACCGTCCTGTAGGACGCCCTCCATACGAACAGCAAAAAACAGCCCTTGCCTTGTACGGCGGATTGGCTGCTCACTGATGACAACGCAGCCATTTGGAATCTCACAAGGCTCTCGTCTCATGACTGTTCGCCTGTCATTTAGTAGAATCACCCGTTCAGTCAAGGCAGCTGAGGAGAAAGCAGGCCCACCTAAATTGCGAGGTCTTGGTGGCAGGAAACTCTCTTTGATAAGCGTGGCTGCAGCATTCTCTGACAAGCCCTCCTGCAGGATCACACGGATCTGCTCGATCATCGCATGCTGATCCTGTTTAACTTGAGACATCGACTCGTCGCTGCCCATCTCGCATTGAACACCAACAAGGAACGGGTGCTGGTTCAGCAAGACAAGGCCCACTGCAAACATATTCAGAAAGGTGTCCCCATCTCGTTTCCGGTTCGTTTGGCAGCAGCTTGTGCTTCCCATGGTGGAAAGGCCAATCAACCTGCAGAACCGCAATGGGATCAACTGAACATCTGAAAATTGCAATTTTGCACAAGTGAGAAGGAACCAGCCCTAAGCTCTACTACACAGTCATTTCATGTCATTCCTTAAAATAGAGTTATCCTTTGCTTTGAACATACGCAAAGCAGGCCCGACAATGTACGGCAATACAGCAAAGCAGCCTACACATGCGGATCATTGAGCGCAGATTTTTCCGTCCAGAACGCGAAATGCAGCAGCCAGGAACGTCCTTCAACAAGAAGCGGCAGTTTTGTCCCAAGATCTCATCGCGACTGTAGCGACCTCTTTGCGGAGCTGGAGAATGCCATTGGACATGAGGTCCACAACAGCTGAGACTGTTTGAAATTAGGGCTAGAGTCTTCATGACTGCTTGGGTCGAAAGTGTCACTCTTTCACACCAATGATGAACAAAGAACCATAAAGAACCTTCCAAACAAACACAAGCAAGGCAGCAAAATACAAAAACATCCGGTCTTCAGACATGAACAAGTTGTCATCAAAGCCACTCATTTTTGCAAAGCTGTCCGATACTCCAACAACTGGACAGTCGGGAACTAGTGCGTCAGCAAGCACACACGGCTTGGGGAAGCTGTCGATCAAGAATCCCACCTTCAGGGTGGCAGTTCTGGGAAAAAGGGGAACAGAACTCAGCGTGTTGGCCTTCTTGACTCCGACTCCAACCCATGATTATACATTTACTTACAGGGAATTCAGAAATTCATTGAAATGTACAGTCTCGGCCAGTCTCGGCGCAATAAACTGCTTGAACCTAGCACAGGAGCATGCAAGACTCTTTTTGACTCTTTACTGCCTCTCGGTAGAGGGTGCGTGCACTATTTATACTGAGTTGCCGCACAGGTTGCAATCGATCCATGGTTACAGCATCCCCCTCGATGCTCTCGGATATGCAAGCCATGCGAAGACTGTTCGGCACAGAATGGAGCAATTCGCCAACAGAAACAAGGGCGCTGCTGAAGATTAAAAAATGCACTGCGGAGGATAGGGCAGGTGTCTGCTTCCAGCAACAAAGAAGTTTCTACAACCTGCCATTACATCCCAAGATGTTCACATGGAAGTTTGTAGTCGGGGTTGGTGTCAAGGGTGTCGCAAGGGTTGACTTGGACTGTTGTTTTGTAGGTGAGTGCCCTACCCCACCTCCTGTGAAATAACATGAAATAACTCCGATCCGTCAATCTGACCAAACACTAACAAGTTGGCATGATCTATATAGTATCCCAGACACCGACGCTCACCGACGGTTTACTTGGTGTTGTCAGACCTATATAGTCTATATACAGTAGTGACTTCACCCCCGTCCCGCTGAAAGCAATCTACGATTTCTAGACAGTCTTGTCCACCAACAAGGTCCCTTCAAAAAAATGGTCTGAAGTGGAACAGCATGAATCTCTTGAGTTTGTTTTGCACTCTCCAAGTTTGGGCCCACCCTACAGTTTTTGATGGGAGTCGCTTGAACTAAAAAGTATCCAAAGTCTGGATTGAATGCATGTTGGATTGAAACATGAATGACAAAAACAGATCATCACTTTTGGACATGCAACATGATGCAAAATGCGGACGTATCAGTTCAAGGATCTAAAACATTGCTTCATGTTGTCTGGTATCACGGAACAGTTTACTATTGTTGAACAGAACATTGGCTGACAATGCTCGGTTAGCTGGAGTGATTCAGAGTTCGCAGCCTTCGCCAGGGACATCAGCTTCAAGCCTCGGCAGCTGCGGCTAATCTGGGTCCACTACTTGGATTGCACGGTCCAATCACGTAGCTAGGTCAAGGAAAACAAAATGGCAAATAGTGGGGATAATGTGGCTAAAGATGGCTAAAGGATGCAACACCTGTTGAAGGCAGGCTAGGCTCTCAGGTACAACCAACCTCATCTAATAAGGGCGATTCTCTCAGAAACTGCACTTGCCATTGGCCCAACACCAGCTCGAAAATCCCGACTTCTTCAGACACCTGTAGTAAAAATTACCATCGACGGCTTCGAACAATTGTAGTACAAAGCAATGATCTTATTCAGGGGGCAAGTGGTTTGTGCTAGTCAGGAAACTCAAGTCACATTCGTGGGAACGGTGAACAAATTTTGACAGGTGGGTGGTAGCAGTTGGGAGATGACCTTCTTACAAGAAGTGGAACTTCAAACGTTCATTGGATCTGTATAAGCAGAATATGTTTCAGAGAGCCTTTCTTCAGGATTTGCTTCGGCCAAGCCGCAGCAGGCACAGCTGAGGATCCGACTTCGGCATGGAGCTCACACAGGCCACCAAATGTCCTGGTTCTTGGAGAAGCCTCGAGTCAATAATGATCGGCCAGGAGCCCCTAGTAGCTTCTTGTTCCTAGTAGCGATGCCAGGAGCCCCCAGTAGCGTCCTCTGTCTCTAGCAATATATATGAACTGACGGACTTGAACCATTCCATTCATGGCCCTTTCAAGTGGTTCGGTGATCTCGGAAATTCGGACAGGGCTCCGGCGTCCGTGGTGCAGAGCGGAAAGGGCCGGAAATGCTTGGACGAGTGTTCGTCTGCTTTCAGGAACGTTGTTGTGCGGAATCCTCCAAGATTAAATGTTGCATGATTATGCATGATGTCCATCTGGGAGGTGCCCCGAAGTGGGTTTGAATCGCAGCATTGCGCCTGTTGAGGTAAAGCACCACATCCTGGCTGGGCTGGAAAGAGTAGTAAAGGTTGCTGTCGGTGGCCTGTATAATGCAGAGTTCACATTGACTTTATCACACAAAATCTAAATGTGTTCGCGCCTATGACCGGGACATGCTTGCCGTGTGGCTACGAAGACGAAGTGCGGGGCGGAAGTGGATCAAAGCTTGCGGACTGCTTGTTGATGCATAAGTTTGTGCAAGAAAACTCTGCCGAAGGCTGCACTGCGCCTGCTCTTTAGGAAACTGCTCTGGGATGTCCTCAATGACAAGTGCCAGCAACCTGGCAAGATAGAATTTGTATGTACACCAAACTTTGGAACTGCAACTCATGTCTTCAGATACTTCTGACAAGCTGAAATAATCTTTTGAGGAAGCCCACCACGACGGTGCTTGTAAACAAGCTTCACAAGCTGTCATCAGCATTCCATTTACATAGATGAACGGGATGTTGCTTGCTGTGCTTGCTGCCCTTCTCGCAAACCTAAATTGAGATCCATGCTTGGTTTACAGCATGCAACAACTCCAAAGCTGTCAAACGAGCTTTGAACCACTGAATTGCCTGCCTGGAACGTAGACTGTCGCGGCCACCACCGAGGCCACCGAAAACCATTGTGCGACCTAAACCCGAGGGAATTTTGCTGATGAGTCCAATATTATTCCAAGATGCTCGGAAGAAACACGATTCGCAACTACGGTGAATGCACGGACAACAACTGCATTTGCAAATGATCTCTCCTCTCCTGAACTGCTAGGTTGGCCACCATCCTTCAGTGTAAGCACCTGTGGCATCGGGGGTGGGGAGGTGTTACAAGCCGCATGTCTCCATGACATGTGTAGTTGCAATTACCTCAAACAAGGGTCTTTCAGCATTCATTAGGTTAATTTTTGTTTAAAGCTTCTATTTGGTACACAGGGCAGCATCTTAATCCGTTGTTAAACAGCTTCGCCATGAATTAGCAATTCTAGCAAAGTATGGGGTCCGCCACTGGCACTGAAAATAGAAGCTGCCCATACTTCGCTGGCTGAAACTCATCCTGGCATAGCCTCCTTTCGACCCCCAAACCCCTGTGCCTCGTGTCCAGCACGTCCAGCCGCCTGAGCCCAAGCAAAGTATGGCAAGGGCCGCCAGGTGGCACAGTCCTCACAGCGGCTCGTTCCGCAATGGTTCTCCAGGAGTCTACAAAACACAAAAAGAACAAGTCGCTATTAGGTTCGAGGCCATTGCTATTAGGTTGGAGGCCATTGCTTACATACATACTTTGATCTGTTTTGTATTGCATTTAGAGAAACTACGTATATATTATATACACACACACGAAAAAGCAAAGCGGAAAACTACACTCCATCTCCTCAGAGACCCACGCGTCATAAAGCACCTGATGACAAGCTTCCCAAACTCAAATCTAGGACATGAGCAAAACCAAAATCGGTTGCGAGCTCGCTTTGTCGGTTTTGTGGTGTGTTTCTAATCATGCTGCAATTGCTGCATCTCTTGCTGAGGTTGTCCTGTCTCTTGCAAAACCCTCAGATGTGTGGAGGACTTTGCCACATGATCACACGAAAACGAATTGAATCAGGAGACTTGGCGTGTCAATGAGTGCGCTCTAGTACTTGCACAAGGCTGGACCAGGAGCTTAAAGAATTTTGCGGCAGCCGACGGCTGCAGTCAGACTTCCAACTGACAACACCACACCACTCCATGAGCTGCACATGATGAAGAGATCGCAAAACAAGTTAGTGCGTGAGGAGGTACTAGTACGTGTACGTATCGTTTACAGTAAGTAGTTCTTTTTCTGGTTCTGAAATCTAGATTCCTTCCAAAGTCGGTAAATACGGTTTCAGTTGGTTCCTGACTATCTCGCTCTACAAGGCTTCCAAAATCCCGTCACTACGACAGAAAAATTCTAGCATGGAATCATGGAGTCTGTTAAATGCTGCTGACATGCTGATTCGTAAAGAGTGCGATTATTTATTAGTATATATCAGATACCCTGGAAGTTAAGGTCCCCCTTTACACAAGGCTACTTTGTTCAACTTGAGTCTCTATAGTCTTTGACGGGATTCCTTCCTGAAGCAAGAACATCTTTGAAAGCCGTGCTTATCAAAAGGGACAACAACAAGTTGGTTGTCATCTCAACTGAAAGGGCTGCCCAGCCTGATTCTTCTCATCACTGCCTCCGAAGAGAGCCAGCTGTCCGCGGAAAGGAATGACCTGGCTCAAGTAAGTTGCTCACTCCAAAATCTAAAGCTGAGTTGCTCATTCTGACTGCTCAAAGCTCATTATGACTTCACCACTTCACATCTTTGCTCATCCGCTAGTGGCATGCAATGGCAACAAATCTTGATAAGACTGAGACACCCAAAACTAGAGTACAGTAATCTACCCTGAGCGAGCAATGAACAACAAGCTGCCTGGTGCTGTGCCCGCGGAGCCCAGGGTGCTGTAAGGGGCCCTCGCCAACCATCTTCACCTGACAGGGCCAGGGGTGAATGGAACTTCGGAAGACAAAAGACTGATCCCGTCTTGTGAACCGCGCCTACGCTGGCATCGCTCTTCCATCTGGAGACACCAGCTCCCCCACCACTCCCCTTGTGGTTCCATGATGAGCCCTTCAGCACCCAGCAGTCATTCAAGCGATGGTTTTCGTCTTCACCTCCAGTAAGCCAAAGGCGACCATTGAGGTGTGTCACGTTGAAGTTCCATCGCGGTGTGCACGGCAATGCCTCCAACTCCATCCAGGAAAAGCCGCCCGAATCAGAGGCCCAAACATCCTCGCGACTGAGATGGCTTGTGGGAGCAAATATATGCTCGTGCCTGTGTACCTTAGCATCCTTTAGCCTTTGCTATGCATAAGCCGGACAAAAAGAACGAAATGCAAGAAGCTTATTATACATCAAAACCATGTTTGTTTTTGCATCGCTCCAGTCGCTCCAGGCTTGGTCCTTGAGCGCCTTGTTGCCGGTGGCGTTTCCACCCATCAGCACCAACAATGGTCTGGCCGGTGCCTTTTTCAGGGACACATCCATCACCAAGGCCTGGTGCCCATGCCTCCCAAAGCGATGAAAGCAATGCGAAAAGTCTGGGTGTTAGTTTGGTCATCACCACCATGCCACAAAATACCGTTGAAATCTTGAAGGAGACAGGGAACAGAGTTTTGATGCAGAGCCCTCATATCTCCAGCAATCTGTGGAACATAGGAACACATCAAGCGATTGGACAACCATGAATTGAATAATCCATGCAAAATGCTGAAATCCAGCTTTTCGACAATTTCCAGGCCTAGCAGACCATTTTGGACAAGGCAGTTCTTGCCATGAGAGGCCCAGATCCGTAGATTGCCATGCGTCCCGGAAACGACGATCCTCTTCCCCGGAGCCACCCAATAGAATCAAACGGTCCTGCTGCAATCCCAATGCAGCCAGACATCACTGTGCGACTTTGCGAAGCAAATCAACAGCTTGATGAGTCACCTTTTAGTTGTTAAAGTATTGTATTATATAGCGTTAAATAGCGGCACAAAGAAAGACCATGTCTTTATTATGTCCACAGTGCAATTGGCAGTCTAGACCAATGAGATCCGCGATTCCGGTTCCGAGCGCGCAAGCACTCTAGTCGCGCCCCTGGTTTCCGTGCCTCCCACCAAACCACCTGATGCCCAAAGCGCGCAGGCCATGGTGGTGTTGGAAGATCTTCCCATTGCTGCCTACATGGGTCGCACTCTCAACTGCTATTCATTGGGGCAAAGTTTATTCAAGACTTGGTAACCTGAGTTTTCGTGAACAATTACAGTAATGCAACAGAGGCGTCTGTTACTTATCTTTTGTAGGTCATTCCAGGGAATCAAAGCTGACTGATAGCAGCTGCAAGTTTGCAAGAAAAGTCTTGCTGAATTCGCAACTCTGCTACCCATCGCTTGAGATCCAAGCATCTTGGAGGGGCTTGCCCGTCTGCGTGCCTTGGCTGCAGTGTATTCTTGAAGACAGCACCTCTATACAAATCTCCTTCTCCTACTCTGAGACACTTAGAAGAACTTCCAAGCGGCTCATACCACCGATGATCAAGATTTTGTCCTCCACGGCAATCACCTGATGCCCCCAGCGACCACCCCAGCATGGCGGCGGCAAACGCTCCCAGGCACAAGCTGCAGCCCAGGCCGGATCAAAACTGAGGAACTCTTGGATTGCCTCAGGCCAAGCGGCATGAACCGTAGCAACCAAGAATGGAAGTCGTGGAAGCGTCAAGCAGCGTAACTGCAGCAAACCCAAAGCTGTGGAGAATTGGGTAAAGTGCTGAGGAGTGGTATGGAACTTGTTCCTAGTAGCGATGCCCGGGTTCCTAGTAGCTTCTTGCTCCTAGTAGCGATGCCAGGAGCCCCTAGTAGGGTCCTGTGTTTTTAGTTTAACAGTGCAAAAGAGCCTTTAGTGCCTTCGATATCGTCGATCATTTTCCCAACCCGTTACCGCCAGTTGTTTCCAGCTCAACAAGCTTTTAAGCATCTGAGCTTCAAGGAGCGACTGGCTTGTCAAATGACAGCGAAGACTTGCAGAAGGAGCGAAATACAAATTTGATAATATATAGTTTAGTTATATATAAAAGTGGGTTCACGGTATTGGCCAAGAGTCCGACTTTGAAACTCTTCAACCTTTCAGGGAAATGACCTCTGTGTGTGAGTGTGTGCCTGATTATATATATATATAAACTTACCAATGCCCGAGGCAAAGCACTGTGAGGAGTCACTGAGGTTGGACGAGGTATCTAAGGTCTTGTTGGTGTGCACACAGTGCTGTGCCTTGGGCATTGGGAAAGGGCACACACACAGGTCAATTCCCTGAAAGATTGAAGAGTTTCAAAGACAGCAGCCCAGCGACAGACTCTTAGGATGGACTTGGTTGTGTCCTGTGACAATTGCGCCAGACCTGAATATCTCCTCGAGGCAAACCTTCAAGTAGATACTGCATGGAGATCGGGCCCACCGTAGAGAAACTGTTGGTTGGTTGGCACTCTTGGATCCGAAGTTATGTCATCATCCTGAACTGTGGATTCTTAGTTCCGGCTGCAAAGTTTCCGGCCTCTGTGCCTTTTTGTCCAAGGGGCGTCAGAGCTGTCCTTTAGCTGGTGCAAATCAGCCACACTCAAACGCAGGGGAAATCTTGAGACCTGCAGCAGCAGGTGCTAAACCCTTTGACACCTATAATAGCAATGGCCTCCAACCTAACGGCAATGACATCGTGGCACAACGAAACTCTGCGAAAGGGAAGTGGGGTTGTTGGTTCTTACCACGGCCTGCCCAGCACAAACATCTCCCAGAGCAAGGTCACAGAGCATGTTCCTGGAGACAGCGCGTTTGCCTTGACCAATCCCTCCAGTGATGAAGAATCGGTGGTGCTGCTCCCAAGCTTTGCGGAGTTGACGACCTTGGTGGCTTTGAATCAGAAAAGAAGACAAAATCGAAAGCGGTCACAATATGTCACAATCAAAGGATATCAAAAGCCTTTGAAACCGCTTCAATTGAAACCTGGCAGCCCATGCTTTGATCCAGTTCTCTGAAAGCTTGAGCAGCGAATGATGGCTCTTCAGTAGTCACTGTCACTTCCTCTTCCGGATCTGGAACTTCCGAATGTGCAGCTTCTGTCGGAAGCTCAGTCTTGACGTCGTCGAATTCCAGTTCTGGCTCAGCAGGTGCTGAAATGTCTATAAGGTCCCAAGGCAGGTCATCTGCAAAGATTGACCTAGTCTCATTCGAGACTTGATCTCTGCACCAAGATTCCTGTACTCCGAATCGAGTCACATAGACTTTGGCTGCAAGGCCCTCCAAATCAATAGTGTCATCAAAACGCCCCCAAAGTTTGGACTTGTCAGCCAGCCAACCTCAAGGGAATTTCTTATGAGGACAACTGCTGTTTCAAGTCCCTGCTTTCAGAAACATCAACATTACGATCAAAAACATCAAATTGATTGAATTCTCCAGAAAGAAATGTTTCGAGTGTGATAAACTACAACTAGCCTGGTTCATCCATCTTCTTGGAAGCGACAGCTAAGCGAATTGCAAAGCACAAAGATGCCCACAGGGCCAAGCGCTTTCGCTCGGGATATGGACGAGTGTGTTCTGCTGCCACCAGTTCAATGGAAGCATCCAGCAAGGCCCACATCATCTGAAAACCAGGTTGCGGGATAGTCACCAACCTGGAAGAAAAGCTCAATGAAAGCAACCACGGACTTGGAAAATGGAAGTCAAACCCCTCTTTGCAGCAAAGCGTCTGCCCCTTGTACATCATCGGATTATGGGATCCTAGGCAAGCCAAAGAGCGACCCATGTCATCTGGAATGGATACGTCGTGCTGACATGGCCCGTCTCACGACGCATGAAGACTTGATACGACCGCAAAGGACAGATGACTTCTCACGCGGTCCGATGTTAAGACCCCATCATTCTCCCCTAGAAATTCTGTCGTTTCGTTCTCAGACACCCACAGCCAAACAGCAAAGAGATCATTGCGCGCTTAACGCGGACCGCTATTTCTCGATCAGTCTAAAACCACGGCACCAGCCAGCCAGCCAGCCAGCCAGCGACGACGACTACTACGACTACTACGACTACGACGACTACGACGACTACTACTACTACTACTTCTTCTACTACTACTACTACTATCTACTACTATCTACTACTACGACTACTACTACTACTTCTTCTACTACTACTACTACCACTATCTACTATCTACTATATCTACTATCTACTATCTGCTACTATCTATTATTACTACTACTACTACTACTGCTCCTACTGCTACTGCTACTGCTACTGCGACTGCTACTTTCACTACCAGTACCAACTATGCATGCTAGACACTGAACAACCGAATAGCCGGCCCCCCGCCCAGTCAACTAACTACACACTAGCAGCTGTTGTAGCAACGATGTACATGGCCAGCCGGCCGACCGATCGCGGCCTATCCGGCCGATCGCGGCCTGCCCAGCCGATCGCATATACTAGCTGGCCGGCCGGCCGATCGCGTACTAGCCGGCCGGCCGGCGGAGAAAATGCAAACTAGGTTTCCCGCGCTGTCGAAGCATTCCAAAATGACAGCACAGCTGCTGAAGCACTAAAAAGGAATCTTTTGGTTGATCATCAAATCAATAGAAATGCCCGTTCTTGTTCTTGTCTTCTGAAACTATATACTATATTCTTCAGCCACCGTAGTCACAAACCCCCTCGACCCTCTTGAAATCCCCTTGGACCATGTGATTGTGGTGCTTGATTGATCACACGGAACACCTCTTAGGTTGAAGGCCATCGCTATTAGAAAGAAAGAAAAAAGAAAAGGAAGATGAAGAAACGCAATGAAACGCATCTCTCTCTCTCTCTCTCTCTATTTCATGTTGGGATTCGGAGGCATCGCACGCATCGCCGTGCAAAGGACCAAGCAAAGCGCAGGTGAAGGCTGCCGTCCGGAGGGGGCGGCGGTGAAAAAGCACCCGGCTCCTCTGGCATGCCTTGAGTGAATGTCAACTTCTGGTATATTTGTTATACTGTCCAATTCAATCACAGACCTGCTTCCCGACAAGAAAAAGCTGTCTTCTGTACCTCCATGGAAAGTTGTCTAATTAGCCTAGTGGCAGGCCAAAATCATCAGCAATTCTCTAAGGAACTTTAGATCTTGTGGAGCCTGAATCGGCGTATGTAGCAAGAGCCCTGACCTTGGATTGTCAGACCAATTCCTTCAACTTCAACAATCAAATACCGAGATCATCCCACACGAGAACTATAGAGGTACGGATAATCACCAGCGTAAGCAAAAGGGCATCATCCAATGTGCAAGGCGAGTGAAGCAATGGCGGTACTTCAACTCCTGCAAGAACGTTGCTGCCAAAGGGGATCTTGCCTCTCTGGTTTGCCTGCTTCAGTCTTCCAAACGTGTGTGCGATCGTGGAACATAGTAGTTACCTCAAGTGCCCGCAATTATGATCTTGTCTCTTCTTGGCCTTGAAAGTGAATCCGAATTTGGTGTGCAAGAAAATCCTGTCCGTACTCATACGTATCCTTCCTTGGTCCTCCCCGGTCGCACCATGATTAATCTACTGGGTCAAGAAGCAAAATGTTTATTCGCAGTGTCAATTTTGGTTCCGCTTGCTGCCGTGTCGATCCGTCTTGCAAAAGGTCCTCCTGGCTCTTCCGCAGCGTTGCCAAACGCGGAAACTGCGCATTGGCACTGCACGGTGCAAGGAAAGCATGGCCGTCCTCATCCTCTCACGGCCGGTCAAAGGACACTCTTGACAGCTTATATGTGATTCGTGGCAAAGCTCGATCCACTCGAGGTTCAAGTTTCAATGTATAACATTTTTTAGTGAAGTTGAAATTAAATGGTTTCTCCCCTACGTGATTCTCATCCAGCCACTCATGAATCGCACAACTAACCTGAAAAGACTCCTGCAGAACTGCATCAAAGTCAATAGGCACTCCACTATCGGAGTAGTAAGCCTGACCAGAGTTGACAAGAGCAAATCAGTTTGTGTCAGGCCAGTGATGAAGCTGATCCACCATATTTTCTGATTCTACAATGAAATGCTGTGGCATCACAGACTCATCAATCCGTCAAAACTAGCGTGTGAAAGGTCGGGCTTGAAAGGCGCCTTCAACTTCCAGCGAGTGCCAGATTGCTGCATCTGCGAATGGAACCACGCAAGGAATTGTGTGGGCCTTGTCTGTTTCATGCCAGGCACCAAATCCCAGACCTGAATACTTGCCAAGGACGTCCATCACTCTATGCAGTCATCCCGTGGGAAGAGCTCACAGGCAGCAAACTATAACAAAATGGTATCGGCAAGAAGCAAAGGGTGTCAAGATGCTGGCAACAATAAAAAAAGAAAAGGGAAATACATGGAAATACCGGGGTGGCAAATTGTTGTTTTGTGGAACCATGTTCCAAACCTCTCATAGTCTGAGACGACACACCAGTAAGTCCTCAAGGGGTCCACTATTCTTTGCAGGCACAAACACAACTGGCCTTGGTTGAGTTCCTTCAGCTCTATTTCCCTGATCTCACCACATCTCAGGTTTTCAAGTCAGTCCGATGTCTGATCTTTTGGAAACTCAAAAAACACACGCCGACCAGGGCCCCCACCATCTTGTTGAGGTCTCCGATTGGTGTGCCATCCGTCAAAGGTCCTCCTCTCAGTTCATCAATCTGTTCCTTCTCTAGGCCAATGGCATTGGCCCCTTGACCATCATAGAAATCCACGCTCAGCTCTGGGTGTGTCTTCCCTGCCAGACGAGACGATGAACGAGCATGTTATTCCAGGAGGATCCCTTCCTCAAGGTCAGTGGGTTCACTTACAGTTGTGCAGGAGCCAACCAACCGCCTCACCCTTCCTCAACTCCCTTCGACATCAAAGTGTTGACTTCTTCTTGGCCGCGATCACAACATCTAAGCTAAGCTGTGTGGGCAGCAGTCGCGTGAGAACGTTCATGTTGCATTCTGGGACGATCGAGTATCACCTCTGTTGAATTTATAACGTGTAACGTATAACATGTAAACAGGAAGGGAAACATTCAACTGCGTGGACCCACAAGTCTCTTCTTGGAGGATATCTATTGGGAAAAGGTTGCCACTACTGTGGAAATCTGAACAGAACAAAACCTTTGTCCTCGTGTGTATACATTGACATGAAGTAAGAATGCGGCTGGTTCCCGCCCCAATCCTCTCAGTTCCCGCCTAGCATCAAATCCTCAAGATTGCTGAACACTTGGTTCAAATTCAGCACTTCTTCAGATGCATTCAGCATCGGCTGCAGCAAAATGCTGCAGCAGACATGTTGTGTGGCCTTCAATGCGCGACTGACCGCTACGGGCACCTCATTGCCATCATTGGCCGACAAGGCATCAGTAAAGCTCTTGGTGAAGCAAGTGATTTGCTCAAGGGCAGGTTCCGCCGCCAAAGGCGGCAGCAAGCATTGCCCACCGGCCAATGGAATCACCATAATGCTATGTTTGTGCCTCGTGGCGATGACCTTCGCTTCCTTCAGTTTTGGAGACCACGGGCCATAAGCCTCGAAAATGGGAAAGGAGTTGGCCTCTTCTTCCAAGAGATCAGCCGGCCCCACACGTAATAGGCATGGCTTTGTGGCTTCCACCCCGCATGCTAGTGCTAAGAAGAGGGAGGGGCAGTCAGCTTCTTCCAAATGAGTTTCATCCATTTGGTGAAATACAATTGGCACGTCAACTGGAGGACCCTTTGCGCTCCTTGCACTTCTGGGTCCAGCCGACGGGGAGGAGGCCACTGGAGGCCCGATTCGTTCAGGCGCCTTCTGAAAAATGGAGATGCGCCTCAAGCACACTTTCGAATTGCCTCTGGCAAAGGGCAGGGCTACGATGGACTCCAAAAGAATGCGAGACAGGTTGTGTTGTCCAACCACCTCAACGCCTCCAACTTTCAAAGGTGGATCTCGCTTTGGCGCTTTCGTTGCGTCCAATGCTTTCTGGTCAATCTCAATCGCGGGCGGAGCACCTTTCTTGCCTCCTTAGATGCAACATGATGCAACATGACATCATTCCTTTATCTTCCATACACCTCTCAATCTCTCAATGAAACATCCAATTTATATAGATGACATGCGATGGCCATGTGGTCTTGAAACCTCTGGCTATGGGTGAACTGGCTGTTTTGAAGGGATTGATGTGATTGTTTGGGAGTCGTTTCCACTGCGGCTCGGCGTTTCCATGTCTCCGCGTGTCCATCATTGTGTTTCTGCAAGGATCCTTTCCCCGGGTTTGAGTTGCTTGGCTTTCGCGCCGCCGCCTTCCCTGTAGCCTTAGGCTTGGGCGCCGGCTTCGGTGGCATGGCTCTGGCTGATCTGACCTGACAAAAGAAACGACTTGCTGTTTGGTAACCTTTGTACCGGAGTAGAAACTGTTGACTGTTGGTTAGTCCCCTGGAACACAAAGGGGAATTCTTCAATTTGTTTGTTTTGCTGCTATGCGCTGCCAATTCTGCTGTGAGATTGGCAGGGCTTTGTCTTGTCTTTTGCAGAGTTGCTTCATGGAGCCATTGTGTCTCAATGCAAAGGAGCGACTGCGGTGACGAAAGTATGCGTCTCAGAAAGCAGCCGGCAAAGTCTGCGAAACGAGACGTGCCGCATTCCCCACATGGCAAAACCTTTACGGTCAAAGCCTGGCATGAAGCATCGTAAAGCCATATAAAGCCTCACTCATGTGGTTTGCTGTTTTTCAACCATGTTTGCCCTTCGAGACACTATCACTAGCGTCCCCTTCCAAACTTCCAAGCATGCAGGGTGCGAGCCCTGTGAGAGCTGCATGAGGTCTAGAAACTGCTGTTGCAGCTCCTGGCAACACCGTGTGAGGATGAATTGCTAAAACAAGAGCTTCAAGGCTCCTATCTGTATCACAACAGCATGTCAAAACTCCAGTCAATGCCAATAAAAAGTAAAGCAAAAACCTGCGCGTCCCCAACTAAAAGTGTCCTTGAAAGATGACTTCAATAAGTTTTCTCCACTGGGTGGGGGGGGTCATGTTTGACATTGTCATTAAACTTGTGGAGCGTTCTCATGGTTGCTCTTCAGCGCGCTGGAATCCCCCGAATTCAGCAATGCCGTGGCCTGAAGGCCACGATTCACATTGGAATCCACACGCCTCACCTACAGAGAATCAGATTTCTTGAAAACCTGAGAATACTCCCCATGAGACTATACCTGGTCTCTGTAAACAGGGAAATCATGCATACATGGAGTTTCTACCCGTTCCAGCTGCCTCTCATCATACAGCATCCATAATGTTTGCTGCTCCACTGGACACACTCTGGCAGCATGTGATAGAAGCTATGTTTTTCAAGAAGTGCCGAGCTGCTCTCATGGTTGACGGACTCAGCTAAATATGTGCGCTTGGGGAATGCAAATTCAATGACTGTGAATTGAACAACTGTTGTCTCAGGTCGATGGCCTCTCTCTTCAACGCTCCCAACCATGCCTGGGAGCAAGGCCCGAGGGACAAAGGAAGGAGGCCTAGGGCCTAGTCTAGAGCACTACCAGTTCAAGCACCCCGATGCCAACAATAATTTCAATGTTTGGTAGACACTGCCACCCACTCCGTCAATGGCTGCATGAGCCCTCAGGCACTGCCTTACTACTTATTAACCCATTCCAACATCGGCAGCTCTTAACCTTCCAAACGAGCCTCGCGTGCAACATCTTGTGTATGCAAATCTGGAGATCCTGTGGCTTCAGCAACTTCAAATGATGTCCTGAGCCACTTCAATCAAGGACAGGGATCTGCCAGGGAGTGTGTATGAGAATGAATTTCATAATGCAACGACGTAGATACATTCTGTAAGTGTCCCGATTTAGCAGTAGTCCGGCAGGGGAAACACGATTACCAATGGTCTGGCAAGGCAGTATAAAAGGGGCATAAAGAAGTCAATAGTCAAGGCGCAAACCAAGGTGAGTCAAAGCTCCAATGTCAACATAATGATTCCAGTATCAACTCTTCAAGAGCCAAAGGGCCATGGCTTCAAGGTCATCCAAATAGATTGGTTGCTTTCTGAGTGCTTGCATCGCTAAAACTTACCCCTCACTCTCATGGTCTTTTTCAGGAAGATGTGACGTCACCATGGACCCTGGCCCACCACAGTGAGATGAAAATAACTCTGGGCTGCCCCAACACTGGGGCACTTAGGCGCCGTCCACCTGTTCTTGCGTGGAGGTGCCGAACTGTGGTGATTATGGCTTTGTCAAGACATGGCACACTACTGTGTTGTTGTAATGATATTCGATAACTTACAAGTCATTGTTTCATTCTGTTTTCATGACTGGCATACTTTTAATTGCTTTATATACTACGCGTCTTGTGTTTCTAAGTGAAAGCACCACGTGATAGAAAACCCGTCTCAGGCTGCGGCCTTGAGAGCTCGGAGTGGATCTCCTCGACCTCAGAACACATTGCAATGTTGAATGATCACTTGGATGAGGTTAAGGTTAGGTTTACATATTGGTATACACGAATGTTGGGTATGAGCAAGTATGAAAAATCTGACCAAAAGAAATGGTTGAGCTGCCTGTGAATCCATAGTCTGCTCCTGATGGAGGTACCTCAGGATTCCCCATCGGCGCAGCCATTACGTGGTAGAGGTGCTCATGAGAGCTGTCCATGTTGAGGCGCAATCCAACTGCTCCTAGTAGCGATGCCAGGAGCCCCTAGTAGCGTCCTTGCTCCTAGTAGTAAGGCCAGGAGCTCCTAGTAGCGTCCATTGCTGGAGAATGCACACAAATGTAGGAAGGAATGACTGCAAGGCCAGCCTTGCTGATCAGGAGCTTGTAGGTTGACTTCATGGTCGCGGTCCAATTACTACGTACCAACTATATTGGTTGCAATGTGTTCCGGTGCTGCACGAATTCGCAATGAAGATGTTTTCAAGTATGGTGGACTGGATCATCGAGATCGAGGAGACGGCGGAGTTCAGCGGAGTGATTAGCATAGCGGAGATCTGTGTGGCTTTTTGTTTAGACCACAGATCTTCTTTCACTGAAATATGTACAGGTAGCGCTGTGAACTGCTTCGTCCCCACTACCTTTTCAGCAAACCTCAGAAAGCTTAAGAAGGAGTTGTTTTCCATTTTTTGGACTGCTGGTGTTTTGCCTGAGATTCAGAGAGTTTCTCTGCCGGATTTGGGAGTTCATGTTGGTCTTGAAGCCTTCAACTTTTCGTGGTCGCGCGACCTCACGTCGCCATCGAGGGACCGACTGCGGGAGTTTGTGAGCGGGCAACCCATACGCAATGCTCAGGGCTTCTCCAAGCCGTGGCGTCCAGTCGGGACGAACTGAGTCTTCCGAGGGCCTTGAGGCTTGAGTTTCACCGTTCGCTGTACTGAGACTCGGAAGCTGTTCGCGATTGTTCGCGTACCAACTATAGTACCGTGCACTACTATGGAAGAAATGTGCTCTGGAGAAAAAAAGGTGCATATTCATGCATATTCTATTTGCACGGCAAGTAAGGCATCACTTGATTTCACTATTTCAAAACCTGACATATGTGACATCGTGTCAATAAGGGCAGTGACATCATGGCCCCAACCAGCAAAAGCAACTCAACAGCTGCACCAGATACAAGTAGGAGCAAATAGGTTTGTTCCCGGCACTTCGATGTCCCAGTTCTTTCCAACTCTACCTCGCAGTAGAACAGCACAGTCTTAAACAAATAGGTTGTCTCTGGTGCTTTCAGTTCCCACATCCTTCGCTGCAGCACTATCTACAGCAGCTTGGTGGGTTTCTGGTGCTTTGGATTCTCTTTCAGCCCAATACCGTTCATCAAACTGCTGCAAAAGTGCAAATCACCCCACAGTGACTAAAAAACATTGGGCTAAAATGGAACTGCATGAACACACTGGGGTGAAGGAACACAACCTTTGTCACCTAGGACCTTTAATGTCGAAAACCGATGTGGATGCCATCCAAAAGCTGTACTCGGTGGCATGGTTGAAAGCGAGATTGTGCAATGTACGACGAGTAGCAACAATAATTTTACACAACTGCAGCGGCGTGTGCAGAGTCCACGAGCTTTGGTTGTAAATTGGTCCTCCCCATTGTGTAGATGTCCTCCATTGCTCAAGCCCCTGCGACATGGACGCCCTGCAATTCGCGAAGGGCATCTTGCAGGCGGGAAGTTGCGATCTCATTGAGCCGCCTTGGTAGAGCCATTAATCACTCAGCAGCTCAATCGATGAGTCAACTGAAACAAACCACATAGTCACCAACAACATCCAACACCCAACAAACCCTGCACACTTGGGCTCTGCCTAGTAGTGGCATCCTTTGGATTGTTTGGTCCCAAGACTCTCTAAAGCGCAGTCCTGCAGAAGGAAAACGGTTTGTCCAAGAAGAGGGGTATACTGAGGCAAAGCTCCGAAACAACTCAATGCAGGCGGAAGGTGTTGCGTGTCCGTTGCGACCGCACACATTTCATCTTTGAACAAGTATATAGTCTTTCTGCAACTGCATTCCAAACAACGCGAACAACAGGAAGGCCAGGACTCAGACTTCTTCAGGAAGTAGTAGGGTATGTACGTCCTCAAGACTGTCCAGCTGCGCTTCACAGTTTTGAAGTCAAGCAAGGTCAAGTTTGTTCCTCATACAAATATGCGCAGTCAGCAAACTACGCTAGCATAGAACCCCAGATAGCAAACAACATGTGTGGGCAGCATGGCACCAGCACCCACACTCCAAATCGAGCACTGCCATAAACACTTGGCATGGCACCCTGCAGCGGCCTGCAGCAACACTGACACACAGGCTCGAAAGCTCAAACTGCCATAGGCATCTGGAAGCGGAACCTCTGCAGCAGCACCAGCGCGCAGGCTCACAGCGCAGACAGCCTCGCACATCTGGTGCAAGTCGCCTGCAATGGCACCAGCACCCAACCTCCCAAGGCGCACACGGCCATCGACATCTCGCAGCAGCACCCTGCAGCGGCACCAGCTCCAAAGCGCACACGGCCACACAACTGGCATCGGCACCCTGCACTGGCACCACCACCCAGGCTCCAAGGCGAACACGGGCACCTCTTCCTTTTCTTGAAGTAAGAACCCCAATAGCTCTCGCTATCTGGGGCTGCAGCGATATCAGCACCCGGCTCCAGTGTGCACACGGCTACAGGCATCTAAGTGGCACTCTGAAGCCGTACGGTACCCTGCAGTGGCACCGGCAAGCTCCAAAGCGCACACGGCCATGCATATCTGGCAGCAGCACCAGCGGCACCAGGCTCCAAAGCACACACAGGCACCTCTTCATACCTCTTCCTATAATTATATACTTGAGGTAAGACCCCCAATAGTTCGTGCTATCTGGGGAAAAAAGAATGGAGCAAGCACAGTGAAGTGAAGGCCTTCCACCCTTCCCTTCTCTCCCCCCAACCGTACCTCAGAAGCTTAGGGACAGACCCGCGCCATTCCGCGAGCTGATATTCGTCCAAGAGCTTGGCAAACTTCATGCATCCTGAAGCAGGAGCTGACTGAGCTGACCCTTTTTTGTCCTCAAAGAATGGCCTTCACTGTGTGTGTGGATGAAGCATACTGAACGCTTAGCCTACCCAGCATGCCACAGGAATTACAGACTCTCCCTCGGAACCAATGCGCACCTGTGTCATCGGAGCTCGGAAAAGGCTTCAGGTTTGGGTAAGTAGCTCATGTCGAAGTGTCAACCCTGTATTTAATCATTCGGGTATGAAACCAGAGCCTCTGTTGAAACACTCTGGAATACTGCGAATGTTTGAGCTTGGCACCGGGGCTTCCGTGTTCACAAGAAATGTCGAACTGAGAAAATTGACTGCCAATGCGAACAGGGCGAACAGGCACAGGCATGCTGTTCAGTTTCTCTTCAGACACTTTTCTCCTACTGCTCCAGGAAGGGCGGAGCACCTGGAGGTTGGTCCGTTTACCTCACTGCGCACGTTAGAGCAGTTTCACAGTGTGTACATTATGGCAAATCAATCGCTAAACAGGAAGTCCACTGTAAGCACTGCAAGACGGGTGGGATGGTACCATGGGCCCTTTATGTACATCGGCACCGCTGCGCAGGATTTGCGCAAAGCCGGGTCCAAGAAACCTCAGAAGCATGGCACGTGCATCATTTGCCCCTTGCTCTGCATGAATGAAGGCGCACAGTCAAACTGGCCGTTTATGAATGACTTCCTCCGGGTGAGAAGTCTGACTGTCCTGTCTTCTGCGCGCTGGTCAGTGTTTAAACATGTTTAAACCAGGTTGTTGTGTCTCGACGATGCACTTTCCTCGCCACATTTTTGAGCGCAGCTGAGTGGTTGCCCGAACGATGGACAAAGAAGGCCCTTCTTAAAGAATTGCGGAGCCCAGGTGGACTTCGATGACCTTCAAGCTACGCGGGAGATGCTTATTATCTCGAAGACTGGAACATGAACGAGCCCGTGGAAAATGGCTGTCTGACTCATTCACATAATGACATAGATCATGAGATAGCTCACAACCATGCTCATGACATCTGCTGCATCAATTCAGAGTGCAAGGGCGTGAACCGCCTCGGTAGCAAAGTAGTGCGCCGCCGAAGAATGTGCGATGTCGAGTGCAGTCCGGCCATCCTCGTCCTGCACGCTGCGATCAACACGATGATTCTTCAGCAGAAGCTCGCAGGCACCGCGCTCCCCGTTGCCAGCTGCCAGGTGGAGTGCAGTGTCCCCGCGATCATCCCGGCAGTTGGGGTCCACTGCCGGGCAGGCCAGCAGCAAGGACAAGGCGCTGAGACGACCTGCTACGCTTGCGGATCAAGAATCTTGCAATGGACTTGTTGCTCACCATTGCTCCATCACCACATTATGTAAAGTCAGGAAACATGAACAGCAAGCGTGGACAAAGAAATGGGGTGACAGAAGATTACAAGAAAGAGGTGGCAGAAAGTGCTCACTTCTTCAGTATTGGTTGATGTTGCTTGTGCCTAAAGTGGCTGCATAGTGAAGCAAAGTGCGGCCCATGATGTCCCGCACCCCCAAGGTCTCCTCCTCGACATGCCTAAGGCTTGTGGGCAACAGCCCGGGTCAGGCCCAAGGATGTCTGAACTTATAACTTCTCCGCAGTATCCAACTGGCAACTAGTCAATGCAATCAAACATCAAATCACTTCAGCTCAATCCGAGATGCTGAAAGATCGCACAAAATATTGATTCGTCGATGGCGATGAGACGCATGAGGAGCGACATTGCGGCTTCAATTTCATCACTTTGTTGAAGCTCTTCCAGACTGGAAATGGCCTCATCAAGGCGCGGTATCTGTTTCGTGACCGGCCCTGGCGGCCTCTGGGGTAAGCAGTCCATGGCACAGAAGCTCAACGAGCTTAAGCAGTGGACGAAAACAAGCTTGACGAAAGCAGCCACATGCATCAGGTCAAGGAAGCGCTTGCAGTCACAGGATCACACAATGCTGAAGACCACTTTCAACTGTGTTGCTTAGACTTAGACTTAACCGATACTCTTGCCTTGCTCACGTTGCTTCCTATATTGCCGGAGTCAAGGAAACCCATCTCAATCTGAGGAGGCCACGCCAAGGTTTTGCCGCTGCCACTTTTTGCGATCCCGATCAAGTCATGTCCGGCGCTCAAGATTGGCCAACATTGAGCCTCACAGACCAACTTGCCAAGCAAGGACATTGCTGGTGATCTGAGATGATCTGAGAATGCAATTCAGGGAACTGCTGAGTCCTGCTCATGTTTGTCTTGAAGGATGGCTCACTTGCCTGAATCGGTGTGGGCTCCACGAAGTTCGCGTCATAGATCTCCTTCAAGACCTGCTCTGGAAGCCCAGCTGCCTGGAGAGCTGACAGATCTGGTTGCTGGATGTTGCGCTGGCACAAGCAACAGACTAGTAGCGTCCTTGCTCCTAGTAGCGATGCCAGGAGCCCCTAGTAGCTTCTTGTTCCTAGTAGTAAGGCCAGGGAGCCCCTAGTAGCGTCCTTGCTCCTAGTGGATAAAGAACAAATTGCTTCAAGCCCAGAGGATTAGACTTAGACTAGCCCTTGCCCATCTTCCAGTTACCAACACGCCAACATCTGAACATCACAGTCACCAGCCAAACACCTTTCTAGAGTATCTAGAGTGAGTGAATAAACTGCCATGCCCCTAAATTTGATGATGTAACTTTGAATGCGGGGCAACCTTGCCCAACCTTCTTGAGATAGTTTCAGGTAAAGTGTGTAGGCCAGTGTAGGCTTTTTCAAGTAAATACTGTTGGTATAATCTTCAAGTGTCTTCGTTTGGTGAGACTATTTAGCATGACTTTTAGCGGCCTTGTTGATTTTCTGGCGGTTCGTGCTTCTTATGATGTGTTTTTTTGAGACGGTTCTGGCTTTGGTTTGTTGTTAGGTTGTTGTGGTTTTGGTTTTAGGTGAGACTGTTTGTGTTTTTAGTTTGTTGGTAATTAGGTTGTTGTGGTGTTGTTAGATGGTTCGGTGGTCTCTTCATTCTAGAAATGCTTGGTTGGTTGAATCCTTTTTGGGGGGGGTAAGCTGGAAGACGGGTAGGGGCTAGGCAAGTCTAAAAGTCTAACTATTCGGGCCAGGGGCCAAGGTCAATGACACTGCTACCAAGGTCCTTCCTACCATGCATCAAACCCTTATCGTGTCCACACACTCTGGGATTCAGTGGGAAGGCCAAGTGCATCTGTGAATATTTTCACCTTCTTTGCATCTGAAGCCACACCTGAAACTCCTGGATCGGTTGTGGCACCGTCCCACTGAAAGTGCTGATCACCTGGCAAAGAAGGAACGCAATGAGGCGCCCTCAACGACGCCGAGGAAGGGATTCTCCAAATGTTCATACATGTTCAAAGCGCAATCTGTCAGGCTGTCAATCTTGGCTGCGATTTCTTGCAACAATAAGTTCGGTTGGCCTTCATCTCGTGCTGTTTCCGGTATTCCTGCATCAAGAAGCAGCAGCAAACAATAAATTAAGAAAAATTGCTAGAGATGCGTGTTCAGTGAACAAGAACCCGAAACAAATTGACATGAAATATACACCTGTATATCATGTCACAATGGCATCAATGTCATGTTTTTTTCGTTACCCCGACTCGCAGGGTGCCGTCCCACCTGAGCTTTCCGGCTGCCGGAGCTAGACCTGCGTGGGTGGTCGCTATTTTGAGTCCAGGGTAGGAAATTCAAAGGTCGACGGTCGCCCGAGCTATTTTTCAGATTGTCTCTGAGGGGCCAACCTCTTGCAACTGTTGACTCATCCAAAAAACTAGGCTGCCTTTTGTTGGACATGTGCATCTCATAGGTCTTATGATTTCTTAAGGTATCAGGGCAGGATTAAAGTGTCTCACGACTTTCAATCTCGATGTATATATCGTGTTCACAACCCCATTGCATATCAAATCTTTTGAGTGAGATAGTGTTGTCATTTCAAAGGCCCATCAAACGCTCAATCTTTCGAGGAAGGCCTCCAACAAATCACCAAACTGGCTCCCCCTGTAGGCCCAGCATCCACCAAAGCTGTACCTTTCAGCCTCGATCCGAAGCCTCGTCAATCAAATGTGGTCTGGGCTTTAAGAAGGCAGTGCTCAGGGCTTCATTCGGACCAAGTCAACCATGGTCAACCAGCATAGGGCCATCTTGTTAAGTTGTGGAATTGTTGAAACACCACCTGGAGAACCATGATGCTGTCTTGGCCCGATGCGTCCTCTGCCTTCTCTGATCTCTGGGATCTCTGTACTGGCGCCGCATAGACTGACATAGCGCCCCGTATATAAGGAGAGTTGCAAGGGTGCGGGAACCGCAACTCAAAAACCTGCTGGAGATGCTTTTGGCATACTACATGATCCTGCTCCCAATGCGCTCAGTTGGCTGACCGGCTGAGATACCCTGCCTTAAAGCAGTCCGGAGCCGGCAACAAAGAGCAAAAGTCTTGACCTATATCCTGCACTGTATACTTCTGAATCACTTGGTGTCCATCTCCGCTCATCTCAAGCATTGCGAATCTCTGTGAATCTAGACGAAACCAACTTGCTGATTCACATTCACATGTTGTGGATCGTTACGTTGACAGGTTGTCAAGATTAAAATCCCAAGGCAGTGGCCGCAAGCGGAAAACACTGCAGGAGCCTTGCAAGGTGGATACAGTGCTTGGCCCTGCAAGGCTTGAGAACGGAATCCTCACTTTGGGCCAGTCCATGTTCTGTGGCAGAATCACGAACATGTTCAAGCTGGGGTGGCGGTGAGGAAAGAATGGAGTTGTCGAGTTAGACTGCGCCACCACACAGTTCCCGAGCCCCTGGCTTGCTAGTGGTTTCACGGCTCGCACTTTGCCACCTGACAGGGAGTTCCACATGAGGGGAGATAAAGATGAAGAAAGCGGCATCTGATCGGGCGTCAAAAGCTGTCCTTCCATGTACATGCCATTCAAATCTAGGAAAGAAGGGACGTCGTTGAAATCTATCCATCGCTGGTAGCTAAAGTATAAATTGTAAATGCTCAAGATCTATGGGACAAAAATATGGTTCACAAAATGCCCCGATGAAAACTCAAGCTATCCTGTTTGGATGTGTCGGTCCAAGAAGCCTGAAGCCACCGCTAGACATTGCACATTGTTCACAAACAGCAACTGCGAGCTAATCACAAGCTGTTTAAACTGCTCAAACACTTCAACTCACCCATAAACTCCATTTTCCGTGGTTGCTGGAATAGTATTCTCAAGCGATGTTTATATATATACACATCATTATACATCCATCTCTCACAAAGGCGCCAAGACTTGCTAGCCTAGAAAAAGCAGTTGCCAATGGTGTCATGGACTTTACCGATTGGTATCGACTGATGCTTCTTGCTGGTGCTGGAGCCTTCCACGACAGTATGGCCACGCTGACCCTGGCTTTGGATGCTGCTTCCTGCGCCACGCGCAGCAGCTCGCAAGACCTGCGGAACACAAAGGAAACAAGTATTAGGTGAGCATCTGAGAGTTTGTATTGACTTCTTGCATTTGTCCAGCGCTATGGAAACCCACTGGTACCGTAGTAAAACTGATGAAAACTGATGGTTACTGGAACGCACCGATCCAAAATGGATGTGGGCCAAAACCTCGACCCTCCAAAATGGCCACATGATCACATGATTCCACTTGGGTCAGCCACCCGAGGTGTTGACGTGACCCACAGAATCCGAGAGCCGCCAACACAGCACCAAGCGCTTTGTCACATTCAGGGCCTCAAAGCTCACGTCATTGTTGCTGGTGGACTGCACAGATAGATCCTGACTCTGAGAAACATGCGCATGCACCTCAATTCCGAATTCGAGCAGTCCACACCGCCCACGCATATTTGGATTTGCCATCCAACGGGATCCTGTTGAAACGCATTGAAGGAGAATCAAGATGCTTCGGTGTGAGAAAAACATGTTGGAACCACACAGCAGCCGCGGTAATTGCTTTCTTCGAGAGCATTCGATTGCTGTTCTTTTTGCCTGCCCTGAAGCCCAGGCCTCCTGCTTTGGAGCCTCTTTGAGGGACACAGGTCGGGGTAAGGCCACACGGGTGTCGCCCAGTGGCACCAAACCTCACACTGGGACTTGGAGTTAATCACATGTGCGGATCTGCGCATTGACAATATCTGCCTGAATTTCACGGCTCGGGTTCAATCTTCCAAGTGTATCTCTTTTTCGTTTTTTGATCCCGCCTTTGAGGCGGACCGTCTTCAGCACCTGTCAAGAAATGGACCACAAGTCAATTTCAAGTCTTTCATGGCTTCACCTGTCAATTGCAGGGGCTCCTGGCATCGCTACTAGGAGCATTCTTGCTTCTAGTAACTACCAAGCGGCCTGCGGCACACCCTCTGCAAAGCCCCACCAAGTCCTCGCTTCAGTCTCCCGGACCCGAAGCAAATACAAGAGTGAAAGGCCTCGTAGAATATATACTGAGCTCTGGTGACTAAGGAGTTGTAAAACGCATGCTGAAATCACTAAGGTCTATGTCATCTCTCTATGAACATGTCCTGCAACTCCCAAGTCATCACTTTACCAAAGCCAAAAACAGGTTAGTGCAAGACCACCTCATAAAAACCTGAGGCTAACCTTTGTTTTTGTGTGCAGTTGTGTGTCGTGAGACAAACCTTGGGTGCGTTAGCAGCTGGAAGACAAAACCCAGCAAGGAACAACCGTAGAGACAGCAAGGGCGTGAAAAAGAAAGAGCTGGCTAGGACTTTCATGTCGAGGTCCTTTTTCACTAGAGCCCACAAGTCCCAAGCTTCAAGTAAGATGCCGCTCAAGACCGTGCCAGCCTCCCAAGCCCAAAAATAAAAAAAGAAAACCAGCACCTGCGTGGACAACGCAACTTATGACATAAGCGTTCGATGTGTCCCCTACTCCCAAGTCATGTAAATGTATATGCAAAATCAAATCAGTGAATACTCAGATGACCTAGGACTTCTGGGCTGAAGTCCTTTCTCACTAGAGGCCACAAGTCCCAAGACATCAGAACCTAGTATAAAAGAGTCATTTTTAAGGCCACGCTGGCCTCCTGCCTCCTGCTACTTACAGTACTCAAGTAGGCGCCTACTTAATTAGGGGCGATACTAGCAAGTGGATGCTACGAGCTACTGGACGCAGGATAGCTCACGCACTATTAATTTGGTTCCTTGATTTTTTGGAAAAAGCCTACCTGATCCTACCTGTGCTTTAACCAAAACGCCCAGAGCAGAGGCAGTACTTGTTTGTGCAATGCTTGCTTGTCGAGGTCTCCACGCAGTGCTAGTTTCATCTCATTTCGAGGACACATCTGCAACCCAACAACCATTGATTCTTAGGTTTGCTCACAGGAGGTCTATAATCTTAAGGGGCTGCTGAACTCTTGAACTCACTTCAAGTGTACGCACTGGAGCGACTCAAGGGATGACGTGATTCCTTATGATTCCTTTCCCAGTTCACTGCAGTCCTTGCCAGCGACAAGACCTGATCTAGCAGGATCTGTTGCCAGGCACATCTCCAAGGTTTGGAAGATGGCTCGGTTTAGGGGCGCTGGATGCTATACAGCGTGTCCGTTTACTTTGAATTATACCGACAAATGTATACAACAAAGACATGAAACGAAAGTGCAATCATGTATGACAGCTGTGTCTGCCCGTCATTTCTTAGGGTTCCGCAGCATGCTTCTCATGCTCAGCAACCTTTCGAGATCCCAGTGTTGAATGAGAAGAATCTTAAAGAAGGAAAAATGCCAGGGAAGTGCCCCTTTGATAAGGCCCTCTTTAAAGGTGCCTTATCACTTATCAACCTCTATTCTTTTTTAATGACATGATAATCCCTACTGCCTGAAAGTAAACTGGGGGGCCACCTAGTATGAAAAGCCTCCAACTCTAGAATGTTTCAAGTAATAGGGGCAAGTCCACACATGCCCCCAAACCTATAGAACGTAACAGTTGGAAGTCACGAGTAGGAGCTGTAGGAGCTTTGAAAGGGCAAAATGTTCAACCCAAATATACAAAAAGAATACCTGGGGCCGGACACGGGACACGTGCTTTTTAAGTAATAGGACTCTTGATGGTTTCAAGCATCAAGGTCTTGGTGGGATCTGTTCAACAACAAATGGCCAGGCAATGTCCTTTTTGAGCAAAGACTTGCAATGTCGAAAGTTCAACTCATGTTGAAACTCTGCTACTGCCTTGTCCAAACGCCGGAAAATGGGAATGTTCAAATGCCACCTTGGTACAAGGCAGGCTCGAGTGCTTCAATGAACACCAAAGAATATCAATGAAGGGCTGACTACTATAAGCCTATTTCATGTATCCTATATTACAAAATCCCACAAGTTACTTTAACAATGTTGCATCTGAGGGCTCGACATGCTTGCCTCTCACACTAAATAGAGCTGAGTGTTGCTGCACTTGGAGGCTTGGCTGACTCTTGCTGCCTGTGGTTTAGTAAGCAAGTCTGCCTCATGTGCAAACTTTAAAAATGCATATGATGCATTAGATATCATTAGATCATATATGGTGTGTTTCTTAGCTGGATGGTAGGTCATAGCATTTGTTGCTCAGCACCACTGTAGAGTTCAGTAGTAGGACCGCAGGATGAGAAATTATCTTGGCACATTTATCTTGGCCCAAAAGTCCCAGCAGAAAGGACTCGCTCCAAAGCCGAAAGTGTGACAGTGTAAGCGGCATGACCACCACACTTTTCTTTTTTTAGCTCGGGGGGGTAGGCCGTAGAGGTAACTAGGTAGCTAGTAGAAGCTAGGTAGCTAGTAGCTTACGCTCTATTCATTTGGTTACTTTTGGGGAAACTTAACTTGTGGAGAAGGTCCGCCGAACGTTTTTTGGGCACTGCTAGGTTCAGGGCGAGGCTTACGGCGCAAAAACAGGCGAAGTGGCCGAGACTTTACACAGCCTCACTAAAGCTTATGGCTTCACGCGGACTTCAAGCACCACGGCAGGACCAACAAGGAATCCAACTCGACCTTATGGTGCTTTGTGGCAACAAAAGCATCTGCCGTCTGAGAAGCCATTTAGTCCACCATTCTGGCGCCTTACAAAAGCTTTCGGCTTCAAAAACGCCCTAACTCTCAGCTCAAAGGGTTGAGAGCCCCGCAGGCCTCAGCACATGGTGAAAGGTCAACATGTGAAAGAAAACGAGCATTGCATAGGCATCATATTTTTGGATGGCCTCTGATGCGTCTGTCTCATGGAGCACTCAATGAGAATTCCAAGTTGTAGACGCAACACAGTTGCAAAGTACAATTTGTCATAAATGACATGGGCATTCAATTCTAGAGTAAAGTGTGATTTCTGTCCTGGTTTCATCGCACTCAACCAATTCATCAGCAAGCCACCGATGTGGAATCATGTTGCAAACAAAGTTGGGCGAAGGCACCTCGTACCTTGGGTGGTACAGTCTTCCAGTCTACACCAAGGCAAAAAGGCCACTAGGGGCGCACTCATTTCCAGTAAACTCCAGCTTGCCAGTGGCCAAGTTAAATCTGAAGACTGAGATGTTGTCAGAGTCCTGATTTGGAACCGGCCCAAACATATTGGCCTAATACCTTTAGTTTCAGAAAAATTGCCGTATTCCCATAAACTTGTTAGCGACATCCACCAACATCCCTTCTTAAGATTGTGCATGTTTCTGGCCCCGGAATGTGTTCATCCTACATCGGGCCGACGTCAACTGATCAATTACTGGCTCCACTTTTAGGTTGGAGGCCATCGCTATTTGGTTGGAGGTCATGAGGCCATCACTTCCAATAAGGTTGACTAACCCGATTACATTTGAGATGTGATGAAGTACCAATATCGTGTAAGGGAGCGTCACAAGCGGAGTCCTGATTCGCTGTGATAAGCCACTGCCCAGAAGCATCGAATTGAAAGTGCCTGGTGCCAGATTGAAAGTTGCACTGAGACCGTTGGATACCTGGTTCTGATCAGCTGTTGAAATGCATGAAGTCCGTCAACTGAGCGCCCACTGCCGCCCTATGGAATCTTTATGGTAGTAATGCATGGCGAGCCGGTCAATGGACTTGGGAAATGCATCCTTGCTCATATGCCAGAATTGATAGAGTATCTTATGATATCTTCGTTCCCAAGACAGTCATTATCTTCCTGATTACGGTACATGAAAAGCTAGTGCTTTCCATTTACTGAGAAAACCAAGCTCCCAAACATGTCTCTATCAACCTTCGTTTGACATGCTTCATCCCAGCAACACATTCCTATCCGATTCATGCTCTTGATAACAATCTAGCTTAATCATTATACATTATTGAGAACCATTTCAATGAAGGTATGTGGTTGTGACTTGAGAGTCACCTTCGGCAAAAACGTCATCGGCAAAACAAAGGGTACTGAAATGCAACACCATGATACTCATGGGTCCCATACTCTCCTTCTGTTCGTTTATATATCCATAAACTCTCTTTCCTGTGACAAGTTTGAGCCCTGCACGTATCAATGCCAAAAGCGGAACCTGACTTAGAAATTCTCGCATGCTTGCGATCTCTCGTTTTGGACCACTCCTCAACTGCTCTTGTTGGGTGGAATCCCTGATCATTGCAAGAGCATTGAAGTGTTCATCAAATGTAGTAGGTAGTTCTCTTCTGGCACGAGGGACTGTTTTGGAAAAACTATATAAATGAACATACATCTTACAACAGTCTGAGCATCAAGAACATCACGTGAAATTGATATCAATCTTACATGCTTCCGATTCTGCTACAAGCCCGAACCTCTCACTGTAGCAGTCCCTTCTGCGAATCGACCAAGAACGCATCTCTGTCCTGGGAGTTGCACCACGTGTGTGCCTCAGTTCCAGAACAAAACTGGATCAAAAAATATACCGGCATAGACCCCAGATAGCACTTCAAGAAAAGGATAGCATGGCAAGAGCGGGAGACAAGCTTGGGAGACATCCCATTCAAAGCAGGGAAAAGGATGGAAAAGCTAAACAAGACCTAAATCATCTTATAACAGCATCCGCGTCAAAGGCATGCAAGAAAATGACAAGCCGGCAGAGGCAGCCAAGAGCGAAGTTATGAAGGGAGACAAGCTTGAGAAACAAGACGGCAGCGGCAGCCAAGAGCGAAATCATGAAGGGAGACAAGCTTGAGACCAAGGCGGCAGCGGCAGCCAAAAGCGAAATCATGAAGGGAGAGACAAGCTTGGGAGACAAGGCGGCAGCGGCAGCCAAAAGCGAAAT